AGCTATCGAACGACAATGAAATCAAACAGTAACGTGGTTGCTGAGGTATAATGTTATAAAATATTGCATTTACTACGGTATTTTGGGGTGGGCCACTCGCTTGTGTGGGCCACTCGCATGTGAACTACGTTACTTCCTACTGGAAACATTGATGCCTGAACCCTGAGGCCATACTAAACCCCGTTAACAGAGACCATCTATTAAAAATTGATTCCGGTTTGTTACTAAAAAAAATTCTATTGACTGTTTAATAAAACTAGACACGAGTACGGGCGACTAAGTATGCCACCGGTTCATAACTATACGGAGTACTAATTTCAACTTCTCTTTATTTTCTATAAGAATAGTCGGCCTGGTTGACGACCTTAAGATGTCTTTTAGATGGTCTTCTAGCTAGTCTTTTTAGCTGATCTTCTTAAATATATGTAAAGGCGGTAAAAAAGTATACTTTATATAAGTGACTTTTCCACCAGCGATACTTTAACTTTATAAATAGTAGGTAGGTCAATACAATTAGAGAGGTAACAAGAGTGTATACTATACTTTGAACTTCGTACTTAAGGTTGAGTGGATCTACCTAAATTATTGCCTGGCAATATTAACTAATGAGAGAGTTATGAACCGGTGGCATACTTAGTCGCCCGTACACGGGTAACAACAGTGCGAAGCTGTCGAAACAGATAGAACATGGATGGATCCATATAATATCTTACATAAGCAACGGACATCGGAGAAACTCTCCCGAAGCGAGCCTTGAACACCTTTTTCTTTCCACCTGTCCTTCTCTTTCTTTCTTCAACCACACCGCAATTTGGCTATCTTGTGAGCGGCTGTAATGATCTAAGCCGTGATCAATTACCCATTTTGCATCTTATTCATTCTCAAGATGGATGTCTTCTGGGCGGCTCCCCCGGTCATTAGGTATGCACGTCCTATTCGCCGATCTCAAGCTCTCATTACTGACTTATCATTCAGGACCCTTACAGCCTTGACTCTAGTTCAATCCGCTTTGATGCATAGTGGCTTATTGAGCTTCTATTGGGCGCCATTCATGCCAAGCATGATATTTTCATGGCGCCCGCAGATCTACCGGCTGGTCACACCATTTCTACTAACCGCACCGAATCTCGGTTTCGTTTTTGATCTCTACCTCAGTATGATGCCTCGGTATCACATCGGCCTGGCCTAATCAGAGTGCTAATGTACCGATAGTGTACCGCTATGGCAGTGCTGCAGAGAAGAGCATGGCCCCTGGAGAGTTCTTCATCTATCTCCTATTCGTAGCTTTCAACATTATGGTAAGTGACTCAGTAGAGTCTGCCTTTTTTTTTTTTTTGTCTGCGTTCGCGTTCATATCCAATCCCTCGCTATAACTGCCCGCCCAGCTTCGAAATCTAGCTGAATTCGGTTCCTGAAGGCGAGGGAGAGCACCCCTGCATCTGTGCAACACCATCATAATTCGCAAAATTCAGGTGTTGTGCAGGTGTGGGCATGGTGGGATTTCTTTCGAGTTCACTGGCGTGATTTCGTATCGCGTCGGTATCGGAGGTGCCCTACATTTCTATATACATCATCTATTCTTTTCCAATACCATCCACATCCTATTTTACTTGTCGTCCTGGTAGTCCAAAATCTCTTCCAAATTTGCTAACTTTCCCAAGCTCACTGCAGGTGGTTATCTGGGATCCCCTTTCCTCCTTTCACGTAAGCTTTCCGTACTTGGTTCAATTTCAACGCATACGCTGACTTGAAATCAGCCTTGATCATGGCTTTCGTCTACACCTTCTCCCAGACGAACCGAGGAACGAAGACAAGATTTTGGGTCATCGACATCCCGGTGGTATTCCTGCCATATGCAATGCTTCTCCTCGGCATGGTGACGAACGGATGGTATAGCGCACTGGTAGATGTCACCGGAATTATCGCTGCCCATACTTATGATTTCCTCACACGCATCTACCCGACTTTCGGTGGTGGGAGAAATTTCATCACTGTCCCCGGCTTCGTGGAGAGATACTTTAGCCACCATGACCCCGACAGCGGCTACCGAGGGTATGGAACGGCGAGCCGCGCACCAAGGCCGACTGAGCAACCCTCGTCGGCGTCAACATCAGGATCATCCTGGGGTAACTGGGCCTCTTCGGGTTCTTGGAACGGTAGAGGCGCTGGCCGGAGACTCGGTTAGATCAAGAAATATCAGGCTCTATGCACGGTATCGGCTTGCATGGGAGATACTTTGCATTTGACAGATAGTGATAATAATAGCGATAACCCACAAGAACTGTATGGTTTTGGGCATGTATGTGTCTACAAATACAGATTTGTTGAACCCCAGTAGTTAATTATCTTGGAACATTTTTGATTAGATCGATTAGAATATTTTCTCAAACAATCTACAATATTAGCGAAACTCCTCAAAATTGGAAGTCCTTAGAATTGGAGGCGTAAAAAAGTCGAGAACTCCAAGTCACGTGGCTACTTCTCCAGGCGCTAAACCGTTTCGGGCGCTGGAGCTGCCGCACTCGCAAAATTTCCTTCGACAAATTTTCGGGGCTTTCACCGCGCATCCTTCAACGACAACCAACAAAATGGCAGTCGTCAAGACCTCGGAGATGGACTACGCCATCAAGCCTGAAGCGTCCGTTCCTTCCGTTGATACATCGGATTGGCCGCTTCTGCTTAAGAACTATGAGAAGCGTACGCTTGTCCTCAAAACTCCACGCTTGACCAGCCGACATTGACTTTTTCTGTAGTGCTCGTTCGGACCGGTCACTTCACCCCTATCCCTGCTGGCTCCTCTCCCCTGAGCCGTGACTTGAAGTCATACATCAGCTCCGGTGTCATCAACCTTGACAAGCCCTCCAACCCTTCCAGTCATGAAGTCGTGGCTTGGATGAAGCGGATCCTCAGGTAAATCAAAATCCATCAAATTCCCTCAATGGTTTCGCACCCTTGCTGACCACCTTACCCCATGTAGATCCGAGAAGACTGGTCACAGTGGTACCCTTGATCCCAAGGTCACCGGTTGTTTGATCGTCTGCATTGACCGTGCCACCCGCCTGGTCAAGTCCCAGCAGGGTGCCGGTAAGGAGTATGTCTGTGTGATCCGTCTCCACGACAAGATTCCCGGTGGCGAGGCCCAGTTCGTCCGCGCTCTGGAGACCTTGACTGGTGCGCTCTTCCAGCGTCCCCCTCTGATCTCTGCCGTCAAGCGTCAGCTCCGTATCCGTACCATCCACGAGAGCAAGAACTACGAGTTCGACAATGAGCGCCACCTCGGTGTCTTCTGGGTCAGCTGTGAGGCTGGTACCTACATCCGTACCCTCTGTGTTCACCTGGGTCTTCTCCTCGGTGTCGGTGCTCACATGCAGGAACTTCGCCGTGTTCGCTCTGGAGCCATGGCTGAGGGTCCTGGTATGGTCACTCTGCACGATGTTATGGACGCCCAGTGGGTCTACGACAACAACCGCGACGAGTCTTACCTCCGCAAGGTCATCAGCCCTCTGGAGTCTCTGCTCACCGGCTACAAGCGTATTGTCGTTAAGGACAGCGCTGTCAACGCCGTCTGCTACGGTGCCAAGCTCATGATTCCTGGTCTTCTCCGCTACGGTATGTGAACATCATCCCCCTGAGTCTGTTTTTTTACCATTGCTAATTTTTTCTTCAGAGGCCGGTATTGAGTGCCACGAGGAGGTTGTCCTCATGACCACCAAGGGTGAGGCTATCGCCATTGGTATCGCTCAGATGTCCACTGTCGAGCTCACCACCTGCGACCACGGCGTTGTTGCCAAGGTCAAGCGTTGCATCATGGAGCGTGACCTCTACCCCCGCCGCTGGGGCTTGGGACCTACTGCCCTTGAGAAGAAGAAGATGAAGACTGCTGGAACTCTCGATGTAAGTGGCCGAGCTGCCTTTGTTCTCATTCAACGTACTAACTTGATTCTCAGAAATTCGGCCGCACCAACGATGCCACTCCCGCTCAGTGGAAGAGCGAGTACAAGGACTTCAACCTCCCTCTTACCGGCACCTCCGCTGTTGCCCCCGCCACTGAGACTAAGACCGAGACCGAGACCCCCAAGGCGGACTCCCCCGAGCCTGTGAAGGAGGAGGTCGAAGACAAGAAGCGCAAGCGCGACGGCGAGACCGCCGAGGAGAAGGCCGAGCGCAAGAAGAAGAAGAAGGAGAAGAAGGAAAAGAAGGAGCGCCGGAAGTCCAAGCAGGATGATAGCGATGACAGCGACTAGATGCACTCCAGGAAGGCCGTCAGGTCCCAATCCTGTACCATATTTTGCTATTTCCGGAGTCTTGGGTCAAAAGGGAAATTTGTTCTATTCCAGAGTTTCATATTGAAGGCTGCCTATCTGTTGAATCTACCATTCTTTTAAATCTGAGTAACGTTAGCAGGTGAATCACGTACATGTAGCGCTTCGTTGTCCACAAGGATCTTTTTGGGTTTATGTCCAAAGCAATTAGCTAGACCTCAGGAATATATACAATATATATGCAGCTATATAGACAGGATAATGTCCGCCGGGGGCTGTCCTCTCTTGGCTGCCGTTATGGTAAAACCTATTTATATAATGATATATCATAGTCACCAAAAAATATCGTCATATCCAGGTATTCGTTATATTTGAGATCGTTATAACCGGGATACTGTATCATGCCAGGGCAGTCATGTGATCACTACGGAGTAGTAGCTACTTACTTACTTAGTTACTACTTCCTATGTATCACGAGCAACATCCAAAATTTCCATAATATCATGACAAGTTTGCTAAATTTCTAGGTGAAGGTTGAAAATGGACTATATCCGTGCATAATTTGGCTAAGGGGAAATGTTGCCCTTGAGCTGGTAATCATAACGTCTTGCTCCCTGTCTATTTTACATCACCCTTGACACTCACCATAACCTATCACTTTATCTCTCTCCCCTAGAAGCTTGATCTTCCAGCGTCAAATTTGCCTCTCTTTGATTTGTGTTAGCTCAACATCCCGCCTCAACATGCTATCGCTCTTCGCACTCTTCTCTTCATTGGTAACTCGATTGTGGGGAAATAGAAATGATACTCCACTCTTTGAGATCCCCAAGCAGAACACACTAGCTGGACTACCTGTCGAGCTATTACTGTCAATAACCGATTTCCTCCCTCTGGTCGATGTGATCTGCATTTCCCTCTGCAATCGTCGACTCCTTGCTACGTTTCACCGTCGAAATCATTCCATGCTGCCATCAGGAATAGACAAACGTCCCCTTTTGACTCGCCTTGAACGAGATGTACCGAGTTACTTTACTTGCTACCTTTGTCACCTTCTTCACAAATATGATGCCTTGCAAGACTTTGGTCCCCACTCGTTCTACGAGGAGAAAGCCAACCATCCTCTTTCATGCTTATCAAAATGGAGGGGCCATTCGTTATTACAGTTGGAACTAGATTGGTGTTCGCGGTATAAGGTCTCGTACAATATTTACTTCCTACACCTTCAGCTTGCCATGAGGAGATTCTATCATGGTCCGCAGTTTGGAATCGACACAGAGGCCATATGGTACACTGAAGTCAGACACTACCCCGAAGAGTCCGCAAGCCCTGAAAAAACCTCGCTTTTTTCCATTGACGCACAGATTTGTTGCGAGCCTCCAGGTCTTGTTCTAAGGGCTCAAGAAATACTGTTTGTCTCCAGTCAGAAGCGATATCTAATGTATTGTCTCCCAAGTACGCGACGTAAGAAATGGGCGGAACCTCCCTCGGCTATGTTTATTTGTCTGCACGTTCGTCGGAAAGAGCTTGCCAGCTTAATAAACCCCATTGTGAGGGCTTACCGAGCTGGAGAGAAAGCTCCCATGTCAACGTACACGTGTGGCCGTTGCGATACCGATTTCCGCATTGAAATTTGCGAATACGACACTCAGTTGGCTCTGATCATCACAAGGTGGTTCAACCTCGGTGATGGTCTATCCCCATATGATCCCCGTTGGAAACGGCATGCCGAGTCAGCGGACCGTGTCCACACTGGCAAAGTGAGACCAAGCCCATGTGATGGGAAAACCAGTCCCCAAGTCTGTTTTGAAAATGCGTCACTTCGACCATTAGAAGCCTTGCGGTCCTGCAACCTTTCCTATCTCAAAGATCAGCGATACAAAAAGGTCATGTATAAAACTTGGACAAGAGGGCTCTGGTATACACCTCGCAAATCAAGCTGGTTCTTCTAAGGGATAGTGGGTCTAAAGGGAGGTAGTCGTTGGACGTTAGATGAGATGGGGCATTGACGTTGATGTGAAGACGAGTGTGGCATCAGGTGCCTTCCCCGACTCACGTTGCCTAAACTTCTTTCCACAAATCGTCAACCCACCCACCCACACTCACTCACACTCACCCACACTCACACCCACACTCACATCATCACGCACACCCACACTCACACTCACACGCACACGCACACGCACACTCCCACCCACCACACCAACAGAACCGGAACGAGAACCAGACTACTATGCGTTTCCCATCTGGTTCCCTCTTTTCCCTATTTCTCTTCTTTTTCGTGAGTAAAAGCCATGTGGAAAACACTTTCCACTTCTTACGGAACAAGAGAGCCCAATGCACAGAACTGACAGTAATATGGTGTATAGTTGTTCCTCGCCGCTCTCACAGCCCCCAACACCGACCCCAAGGGGTCCAATAAAACTCTGGCGCCATGGTATGCTTTGTGCGAGAAGAGTGGATTCTTCTCTGGTATGTCATGACCTCCAAAACAACCTGCTTTCCGGGCCATATGTATGGTTTTTCTTGTGCTGCACATGAGTCTGTTGCCGTGCCAAGAAATATACCCACCAAGCATATAGAGATGCCACGCATATGGCCTTGGAGTGTGGAGAGAGAGAAAGAGAAATCAATGATGGCACAAATACTAAGAACGGAATATTAGGCAGTACAGTTAAGCCCGCACATCCCAACACCCCTCCTGGCCTGGAACACATCATGGAAGATTTGTCCAGCATATGTATGGAAATTAAGAGATTCTTGAGTATGTTCTCTGTCCCCTCCCCAATGAACTACTTTCCAGCCAAATGCGCCTGGTTCATCCTGTGCTTAGTGGGAGTGGCTCTAGTTGTGCTGTAGGAGATACCCACCAACCACCCGATGGACCGAGTACATTTGGTTGTGAACGTAGTAGAAAATACTGTAGAGGCGAAAACTAATAATCAAATATTAGTTGACAACGGCCTCCCACTGTCTAGTGTATTGTCTGGTGACACTAGTCCTCCTGCTGGGTTTACAGAGAAGACAACTATCATCAACATCGTCTGCGGGGTTGCCTCTTTCATACTTTCACTATACGCGGCCATCTCCACATACATGAAGAATCGACTGGATAACGGGGCTCTGGCCGCACTTGAAGGAAGGGTGGCCGATCTAGAAGGCAACGAGGCTGGGCCCGAGCCCGAGGCCGAGGCTGAGCCCGAGGAAAATGCCGAGGCCGAGGCCGGGCCCGTGGCAGTTGATGATGCTCTCCGTCGCCGTGTTGGTAAACTTGAGAGGGGTGTTGGTAGGCTTAATAGGGAAGTACATCGCCTTAGGTATGAGTAAGGATTCGCGTAAGGAGGCTCTGGAAAGGATGAGCTTATATGCTGTTGTCAATTTGCTTCGTTGTAGTTAGCTTTATATGAAATTTTTTTCAAAGCAATACGTTCAGCAACAAAGATATTGAAATTATCAAGACGACGTCGGATCAAATGGTATAACCGCAAATGGAGGCGGTCAATGCTTGTCCTCGATGTGGATCTCGTGACGGGACGTTCTCTCCGCATTTCGCTCCCCTCCACTTCATGTCCAGACTGTAACCCTCGACCATTATCCTTCGGACTTGGATCTAAGAGCAAAAGAGACTTGAACATTCATCAACATGGCGGCAGAGCTGACGTCCACCAAGCTCAACCCAGAGAGCCATATCATCCTGGTAACCATTACTCCGCACCTCCATGATGAAGCGAGACCTAATCGAGGTACTTACACAGGACCAACCACTCCTTCGACTCCCACACGAACTAGCCCGCAGGAATTTTAAAACCGTACAACGAGCTGTGGAGCGAGAGAAAGAATATGTTATCCCCGCAATCAAAGAGACCGCCGCCGCTTCACTCTCCAACACCCAAACGCCCGACCAGACCCTCGCTGCACTTGACGCAATGATATCCAGAATGCAAGGCCTCAAAAGGAAAATGGAAAGTCTTCAAGAGGAAGAGAAGAAAATCCACAACCAATCTCGCAAGCGCATTCAGCATTTGGAGACCCTGCATAAGATCCCGAGCCTAGCCGATGTCAAGTACGATCAGTGGTCAAGGGTACGGCTTGACCGCTTGCTTGTTGACCATATGCTGCGCTCCGGTTACTCAGAAAGTGCGAAGCAGCTGGCCCAGGATAGGGGCGTGGAGGATCTTGTGGACCTCGGAGTATTCACGCAGTGTCAACGGGTTGTGGATAGCTTACGGCGCGGGGAAACTAAGGAGGCACTGCAGTGGTGCGGAGAGAATAAGGCTGCACTGAAGAAGAGCCAGGTAAGTTGGAACTGACTTCTGTTGCCTCAAAACTTTGAGCTGACTTGACGCTTGTGAAGCATAACCTTGAATTCGAGCTCCGGTTGCAGCAATACATCGAGATGGTCAGGACCCAAGACAAGTCTAAGAAGATTGAGGCAATAATTCATGCGAAGAAATACCTCATACCGAACCATCAATCTCAGAATTCGGAGATCATGCGCGCTGCAGGCTTACTGGTTTTCACGCAAGACACAAGAGCCGAGCCTTACAAAGTAAGAAAAATACTCATACATATATCATAATAGTGTTTTTTACTGATGCATTACAGTCTCTCTTTGCACTGAATCGCTGGAGGTATCTTGCACAGCTTTTCATTCAGACTCACCATGAACTGCTTTCATTGCCATCACAAGCATTATTACATATTGCACTTTCCGCGGGACTTTCAGCTCTTAAAACACCCCTATGCCATTCAGCATATACATCATCTAGCTCAAACTCGCAGTCAACCTCGACATCTGTGTGCCCTATCTGCTCAACTGAACTGAACGAGCTTGCACGCAAAATGCCATATGCCCACCACTCGAAGAGTTACGTCGAAAGCGATCCAATAGTTCTACCCAATGGCCGAGTCTATGGGAAGCAAAGACTGATAGAGATCAGCCGGAAGATGGGATCAGTAGAACCAGGCAACGTCAAAGACCCAACAACAGGCGAGGTTTTCCACGAGAGCGAGATGAAGAAAGTGTACATAATGTGACCTCGGACAGATATCTACCCAGGATGAAACGAGCTACAACTCGATTTGTACAGTTCTTTTGTTTAAAAACAAATATGATAAGTATACATTTTAGCGCCTACTCGCTATCACTAGAATCATCATCTCTGCTCCTCTTCTTCCCTCCCTTCTTGGCCGGCTCCTTCTGCTTCACTTCAAAGACATACATCCGAGCCTCCCGATCCTCTCCCCTCCATCCTCCGCGCTCCCCATCCTTCCCTTCAATATGCCCCGCCGTTCTCGCATGCGAATAGCCTTCATAAGAAGTCCAAGGAAACCGGAAACTAGTCACAACAACCAATCCCGCATGCCTTGCCAAATCTCTAATATTCCAAAGCGTATACGGCTCCCCTTCAAACAGAGTCACAAGAATCTGACCAGGCCCAACCCGGAACCCCTTCCCGGTAGTATCATCATCTTTCCCGAGCTCCTCGCCCTCTCCTACTTCCTCATCATCATCCTCGTCCTCCTCTTCTTCACTCTCCTCCCCATCCGCATACACCCACTCATCGTCATCAGCATCCATAAGCGGGGGCGGCTTCGAAACAAGAGGCACACAAGCCTTAAAGAACGCAACCAGCAGCTCCTGATTCGAACGAACCTGTCGGTTCACGTCCGTAGAGAGCCCGCCAACATGCGGGAAATTGAAACAGATTACATCCCACGGCCCGCCCGGCTGGTACGGTGGTCCTGCTGGCTCATCCTTCTGGTACCAGGCTGGTCTCTTGCGCTCGCGGCGTGCGAACCCTGTGCGGATTTCCTTGCCGCCGCCGGCTGGAGTGCCGAGTTTGCGTGCGTCCACGGAGAAGATGACTTTGGGGGTTTGCTGATTGGGGTTGGGGTTGGTTGAGTCTTGCTCTTCGGATTTGCTCTCTTCTGGCTGCTTTTCGGTGTCGTCACTTGTTGGTTTGGGCTTTGCTGATGCATTCAGGATATCTGAGACGTTCTGAGGAGCTTGCGGGTACTTGTTGTACAGTGCTTCCTTGGAATCGTAGCATGTGGCGCATAGGTTGCGGCACTTGTATTGCTTTGCCAGAGAACGGGCGAATGAGAAGTCACCTAGCGGTTGTTAGAATTTATGTTCTCCGAATGAGGCAGATAGATCAGTGTTGAGGCATATTGCATATTTTTGCTTTTATATAGGAATGCATGTTTGGTTTCAATCCCGTATTTCTAATTGAAAATACAGCTCTGGCATGGATATCACAGGAAAAGATATACATTGAACTTGATTCCAACGAAATTCTTGCATAGAGTGAAGAACACAGCAATTATGTCAACTAAAACAGAAGAAAAGCTCACCTTCACCAATCAACAGAATTCGATCCTTCCTCAAAAACGGCACAATAGGCCTCTGATTTGCTTGCATAGAAGCTTTCTTAGGTGCATTGGCATTGCTACTACCCTGCTTTTGCCCATTGCCATGCTGCTGGCCCTTGGGAGGGTTGGAAGATGGGCCAGCTGGTTTGCCTGGTCCACGAGGACGCGGTGGAGGGGCATTTTTGACTTTCTTGTTATTGCGAGGCATGTTTGAAGGCAAAGAGAAGTAAGCTCTCCTTGAAAAAGAACGTTGTATGAAACGAGTGCGGAGCCACTGCTGGTGTCTGTGGCTGGAAGATGATGCGGAAGAAAATCGGGCCGGATAATCAGATATCCGAAGTATACGACGTCTTCAACTTCACTTTACTCTTCTCTACCTCTCTTTAGCTTGCTTTTTTTTGTTTTGATTTCGTTTCTCTTCTGGAATTTTGGTTTAATTATTTATTTCTTTAGAGAGTATTTGAGTTGTAGCACTGCTACGGGGAATAATCCGAGGTTCATGGCTCAACTAGGCCGTGATCAACGTTCCAGACAAAGCAAAAGCAAAGCAAAGAAAAGAAAAGAATGAACGAATGAGCGACGCCGAGCAAAGCCGCTCCGACGAAAATGACATGCCTCTACCCCCTGGGAGCCCGAGTAAAGAAGGAGAGCGCCAGATGAGGTGGATGTGACCCGGGGAAATTAACATTCATTCCAGAAGGGCGGGCAGAATCATTCAAGTCCTATTGAATGCATGGCGAGCCTAGGTTCAGAAAAGGTAAGAACTCCATGTCCAGTCCGAGGGGATGTGTCCAATGGCCTATCTGACTTCAGCGCCGTGGAACCACTAGAAGTGGATCCAGGATATTCTAATACGTTGTTGAAGGTCGGATTCTAAGGGACTAACGAGGGAGCATGCAGCTAGCCAAATGCCGCAGAACAATATTTGGGTTGTCTCTGGTAGTCAAGTCCCGCTCAAAGATCTTCTTGGTCGCGATCGAATACTCAAAAAGAGCAGCATTATTTCTCCAGCGCTTAACCTCGCCATTGCTACCAGTGCGAGCCCACTGAATGAGGTCAATGATATTGACGTGGAGGTCTCGAATAGCCTATAATATCCCACCGTTAGCACAACCCAATCAAGAATAATTAGGACAGAACCAACCCAATAACCATTGGCACAAGTGCTGGGAAGCGGACTAATCCCAACTGCACCACAAAGCTTGTGCCAGGACTCAAGCTCCAAGACATCGCCGAACCAGATGGTCACTTCTGAAGCTAGCGCATCCTGGTATTGAATCCAAGCTGCACGATACTGGGGGCTTTGATCATCCCAGCAACAGAACTTACGCAGTTCGTCCCAATTTCTATGCGGCGGGAGCTGTGCATGGAATAAAAAGCCGGACCAGGAGCAGAAGAAGGCGTTGAGAGGGGAGTTCATCATTCGCTGGTGCAAGGTGGACTCGCAGTGGATTCCGAGAAGTTCCCAGGAGTTAAACGCCTGACCACATGGTTTGCAGTCGAAGGCATGGGCGAGGGAGAGTTGGAGATGGTGGTCAAGGCCAGCTTGGTCTTTGAAATTGCAGTTGCAGGGGGTACAAGTAAACATGTTGATGTGGTTGGAAGATGGTTAAAGGTCTGAGATACTCGGCGTTGGATTGTCGATTTTTATCCATTTTGGAAAATGGGAAAGTATGGCATTGTAAATGAGAGATCGGTTAAAATGAAACAAAAAGGGAAAGATGAGATAAAAGTGAGACTAAATGACTTAGTATACAAACCTCGTGACCTCCAACAACACACTCAAGACCATTATGATCAAATATAAACTAGAAAGCCCCTACTTCGTAACGGGGCCTTAATTAAGAATACAAGGCTCTAGGGATGTTATAAGATGGATGTATTGTATCCCGATTAGGAAATCATGGTTTCTGAGCTCAGCTTAGACGAGAGCGACCTTTTTTATACCAAGACTTAGCAATTCGTAGTTGTCTTTAATAGGCAAGATCGAAGGGACATGGAATCCATAGAACTTCCAAATTTGGAAGGAACGAGTCCTCAGACCTACCCGTCAACTTCCGAGTACAAGATCATGGAAAATATATAGAAAAGAGGTAACCAGAACGATAGGTCATATTAGTTATCGAAAGACACGTTCTATTAGAGAGAAAAAAACAGATCGCGGCATAGCTATATACATTGAACAAGACAGGCAAGGATAGATGCTATGGCCGCATGTCAAAACAAAGGGAGAATTACTAAATCATACTGTAGACCAAAAGCAGGGGGCCAGGAGAAACCGCAAGAACGAAGCAGTTTCCCTTCCATAAATGTAAGGCGAGGGGAGGGGAGAATAACAGAAAAGAAGAGAGAAAAGGAATCAAACACCAACACCGACCAAAGTGATCGCCGGGTTTTCCCCATCAGACCAGACAAGACCCAGGACTTCGGCTGCAATGAAACGTGAATCATAATGTCACATGCAAAGGAGCACCGTGGACGCGGTTGACTTTTTGTATATGCACTGACCAGTCAGATGCATATGGTCATTCCAAGCCTTAAGAGCGCAGCGAGTCTCTCATGCTCTGGCTGCTGGCACTGACTGGCGTGGGGAGAACACCGGTACGGGGCTTGGAGTTCTGCTTGATCTTGGCCACGGCGTAGACAATACCGCTGACGAAGCCGACACCGATGGCGGAAACACTGGGGAAGGTGACTGGCGCGTCGAAGAAGACGAGACCGGAGATGGCGATGGGCAACTTGTTGAGAGCGCCAACCATAGAGTATGTGGTGGAGGAGGTAGTGCGGACACACCATGCGGATGTGTAAGAGATGAAGACAGAGGAGGCACCGGACAGAATCATAGCGAAGAAGATTCCCTCACGGTTGGCCTCAGGGAAGTTGCGGGCGAGGTTGGCAGATGACCAGTCCTCGACCAGCAGGGTGAGAACGATCAAGATGGGGATCGACAGAAGGTTGTTGTAGAACATGGCTGGAGAGAAGGTCATATTAGTAAAAAATTGAAACAAGGTTGGAAGGACCACATACTGTCAAAATCCTTGAAGTTGGTCAGCTTGATGCGCTTGCGCATGCCCAGGACATAAGACGAGGTGCACAGGCAGTTGATCAACATCCAGACGTATCCAGCATTCAGGGTGGAGACCTTGCTGGAGGTGTCACCGGTGCTCTCCACAGCATGCTTGATATCAGCCCAGGCGGCAATGAGCGAGCTGAAAACCATCAGACCGAAGGAGAACAGGGTAAGGTTAGTGACCGAGCCACCGAACCAGAGAACCTCTCCATAGGCAATCAGGATAATGGTCAAGTTCTTGAAGATAGTGTAGACGGGGATTGAAAGGAACTGAAGGGCCTTGGAACCAGTGTAGATCATGCCGATCAGTAGGAGCGTAATCGGGAACCCTGATATGGGAACTTGTCAGCTACTATATCTCTAAGCTTGTAAGAATCGGAGTCCATACACTTTCTGGCCTCATCGGTGTTGAAATCACGGTATGTGATAAGACCCATGGACTTGCAGGTTTGAATTGCAGCAATGCAGACCAAAGACTGTTGATATTAGCAATTCGCTTCGGATCAAGACTGAAAAAGACCGAGAAAGCCATCACATACCTGGATACAGAGCAAGAGGAAGTTCAGATTGAAATCCAAACCCGACAGAACATACTTGTTCATCACGGTCATCATAATTGACGAACCGCAGTATGCCAGAACGGGAAGAGCGGGGTTATTGGATATGTTGGAACTGGCGCGGGGCGAGGGAGTCGGCGGCGGCGCAGCCTCGAACTCCTTGTTCCCTTGGTCGATCTTGTTCATGTCGACGGTGTAGTCGTCGGATTTCTTGTCTTCGGCCATGTTGAGTGAGTGGTCGCGGATAGGGGGGTTGGGATCGGCTGTTTGTTGAAAGGGGGAGGAAACGAAATGACAGATGGCACCCAGAATATATCCAGGGGAGTCGAGGAACAAAAGGAGGTTGTTCAAGAAGGTGACCAAAGAAAAAAAGGCCAAAGGAGATTTGACAACAACAGATTTCGCGGCCGGAAACAGGCACGTCGTTACCTAAGCAGGGCAGTTAGGGGTTGCTGAGTCAGGATTTTATTTATAGAGTGAAACATCCATTGTACTAGTATTATAGTACTCCGTACAACTTACGGAGTACATCAGTAGTCAATTGATCCTGTTGCTTAGCGCTTGAAAATAATCAATTCGATCAATCAATGACAGTATACATGATGTAAGTACTTGGCAGTCATATGGTTGTACATATATTTAGTATGGCATAGCACGGATCATTCTAAGTTCAAAGTTTCTATGAGGCTAAAGATCATGTACAGAAAAATTCCACTAATTAAAAGAACAAGAAATAAAAATTACCGCCTTGTTCTAATTGCAGACCGTGAAAAACCAGAAAACAAATTCATCCATAAAGCTGTTCATGCGTACTCCATAGACCACACCGTACCGAGTCCATATACCAGTGGAGCTCCCGACCTTCGAACCTCAACCCTCCTAACCACACACTCCCCTGAAAATCCAAATCCAAGCCTTCGCATTGGGATATTGGGCTCAAAAGCAAAACCAAACAGAACAATTATCTCAAACCCGCCAAAAAAAACTCAAACCACCCAACCCCAAAACCACAAACCATCCAATCCACACCCCGCACATCCCCCAAAATGCCCGACTCAGACGACGAAGCCCTCTTCGCGGCCCTCGAAAACGAAGATGACACCCTCTACCGCGACCAGCGCATCCACCAACTAAACGCCGAGCTCGCAGCCACAAAAAACAACCACTCCGCACGCGCAACAAGCGGCACCACAGGCCTACTCCAAAACGAAGTCTACCCGACACTCTCGTCAGACCAGTCCGTGCTGGACTTCACGACGCGCACAAGCAGATGTCTGGTGCACTTTGCGCATCCTGATTTCGCGCGTTGTGCAGTTATGGATATGAGACTTGGCGAGCTGGCGAGTGTGCACTACGAGGTTTCGTTTGCGCGGGTGGATGTCCGTAACACGCCGTTTATTGCGCATAAACTTGGGATTAAGGTTCTGCCTTGTGTTATTGGGTTTAAGGATGGGGTTGGGCTTGATCGGGTTGTTGGGTTTGAGGGGCTTGATGCTAGGGGCTTTGATGGGGTTGAAGGGTTTGATGTGAAGGTTTTGGAGAAGAGGTTGGTCTTTAAGGGGATTCTTTTGGCGGCGAAGATTGGGGGTGGGGATGAGGATGATGATGTGAGGGAGGAGGAGGATAGTGATGATGGTGCTGGTGGGAGAGGATTTGGAAGGAAGAAGGGGAGACGTGGGATTCGTGATTCTAATCCTAATGTGAGAAACCGTGGTGACGATGATGACGATGATTGGGATTAAGGATCTTGTTTGCTGAAGGTTATACCCGTGGGGAAAGGGTTTTGGGATGTTAATTCATGATTTCTGTATATTAACGGATTGATGACCTAGATTGATGTTCATAGTTGGATGTTTAGTAGCATACTCATGCCATATATCCATATTTTGAGGCTTATACAAGCTCTAGACTAGCCACAGGGGGCACCTCGGAGGCCTCGACTGGGACTATGCGTATGATCCGGGAACAAGTCTTGGGCAACATAATATGGAAGATTGAATAATATTGAATAATCAAAGTAAATGGGATTGTGACCAGACACGAAAGAACAGGCAGACTGTCATAATAGAATTACAGGCAACAAAAGATCAAAGACCGTAAACACAGAGCCATCTCGACGGCAAAGGAAAACCAAAACAAAAAGGAAACAAGCAGAAGCAGAGCGAAGCAGCACCCTAGAGTTACAACGAAGCCGTGAAACTGAGGCTAGAAGAAGGACAGGGGGGAATTCTATACATAGAAGCAGAAGTAGAAACAGAAGCAGAACGGTGTCGCACATCCATAAGTTCCACATTGACGCCGGATGCCCTTGAAAAACCGAGACTTGAGAGAAAACAGCACTGCCCGGATTCAAAAGCAAGGCTTATTCTAAATAGCCACGTTTTTCATTTCGCCGAGGACCTCCGACTCAATGGCGGCTGAGGACTCTGCGGAGTCGGTTTTCTCAACTTTCTCGACTTTCTCGACTTTCTCGATCTTCTCGGCCTTGTCGGATTCCTTAACTTCATTGGGCTTGGGGAACCCTTCATTTTCCTTATTGGAGATCTGTGGGGTTACAACCTCCATGAGATCTTCACCCTGAGGCTCCTTGCCATTTTCCTGGGCGTCTTCGGAGATCGCAGGTCCTGCAGTGACAACGGGGCTTGTTGTCTCCTCAGTCACGCGTGCAAGAGGGCTAGACACACCGAATGGCGTCTTGGGACTCTGGGCATTTCCGCCCTTGGAGAAACGGTGTGGCGAACGGCCCCGTTCTTCAGCGCGCGTGGGGCTGCCGTAAGGGGACTCACGACTACTGGACCGGTTGCCTGAGGCATTCACACCCAGACCATTGGGCACGGGGCCCTTCCGGCGAGGTACACGGCGGCCAAACTTCTGATCTGTCCTCCAGCGCAGGATATCCATGTATGGGGGCTCCACATTTTGGTTCTTGAATTGCTTCAGCTTCAGCTCATTCGTCTCCTCGTCAACAATGACGTGGCCGTTGCACAGATCGTCGGCGAGAGTCGCGAGGAACCCAGACCACGACCGGGCAACTACGTATTTGCAGTCGTAATCCCGGCCGAAAATAATCACCTGGCCCCATTTTCCAGCAGGGCCGGGTGCCAGATCAATGGCCAGGTTGTTACCACCCCAATCCCGGGCGAGGGGAATCCAAGCGGGATGTGCGTAGGCTTTCTGAACTGCACCAGGAGGCTGGGAGTCTTGACGATCGAGTAGCTCTGATTGCCACATTGTAGACGAGGGCTGCTGAGACGGACCAGCCGCGGAGGAGCTTGCTGCAGAGCTGGGTGCGGGTGGGTCTTGCATGGTAGTTGGGTTGTTGAGATATTCGTCGTTGACCTTTTTCCAGTTTCGCCATTCCTGAACGATCTCCTCGCAGTCGAGCAGCATGGCGCTGAAGATGACACCAGTGGGTAGGCCACCACGTTCTTGGCCGTCATGGAACATCAACGATTCCCGAACCTCTAACGGCAGACTGCAGTCGAGTTCGTGCTCCAATTCGTTAATATCGTTCTGAGTACATCCTTCGCCGAGCTGGTCAAGGAGTTCCTCATAATTGTTTTCTAACCAGCGTTCGATCTTCCTCCAGGAGTGAGCGACCGGCGGTGGCGGTGGTGCTCCGTCGTGGAAACTTTGCATCTGAATTTCTGGTGCACCCTCAGCTTGGTCGTTCGATCGTCTCTTCTGAGATGAGACCGACCTCATCCCTGGTGAGTAGGGATGGGTGGGAGAGCCCAAGTCATCGGGTGAGGCATTCCACTCGGATGCTTGTGCACTTGCAGATCCTTTTGTAAGCTCGTCATCGTAGGGGTTGGAAAGGTCCTGGCGAGACTCGATTGCGCTGGTTGCGACAGATGTGAGCGGGTCGTGGCGACTTTGACTGAGAGGAACGTGTCCTCCGGTGCGGTAGGGGGAGTCGTGGGAAGCATGACGGTCATAGGAGGTCATGGTATGCCAAAAGGAACGCCATGACGAACTCAACCTGCATCACGTCAGTGGACATGAACCTTGCCTAGGCATCTAGACATCTAGCCATCCAGAGGTAGACTAACATATTCGCCATAGTGTCACAATAGAGAAAAAAACGGGCGCAGGGGGGTTAAAGCCGAGATCCAGGTCGCGAGCTCATTGGAGACGGGAAAACCGTGTCCCGACGTGGGAATGATCAAAGAGAATTTCAAAATTCAGAATTCAGATAGGAGAACGCAGAAAGAAGATGTTGAAGATGTGAAGATGTGAAGATATGGTAGGGGCAATCTTGGAAGTCCAGAATCTAGAATTAGGTAAGGAAGGAGAAAAGGTGGAGCGGGGATAACAAGAGGGTTTCTCTTAATTTTCTTGGAAACACAAGGCTTTTTAAAAAGGTTTGGATTAATATATATATAATATATCCCATATGGATATGATCCTCTTTCACAATCTAAAAAACTGACAGGTTCTTTGCTTCCATTGTTGTTATATGTTGTATGACTCGATTGCATCAACCCCCTGGCTGCATCCAGCGAGGTCTCGACGTGTGGTATGTAGATCCCTTTGATATGATGTCGATAACCCATCATAAGCTTTTGAATGCGAATCAGCAATGGGGTATCTTGCCAAGTATGTGTGTTTTACTGTACTGCATCCGGTCAATACATGCCTTCCAGGCTACATAAATTACACGTGGGCAGCGTGTATTTGAATGCTATTGTCCGTATCCTTATGCTGTATGGTAAATGTAGTTCAAATTAAGCTTCCTCAGGAGATCGATCTGTGAAATGGAAGACCCCAGCGCCTATTTAATATGTGCTGGGCAAGGTACGGAGTACTTAGGCATAAAAGAAGTACATACAGAAATAGGAACACGGAAGAGAAGATCCTGAAGTACCGAGTTCGGGCTCCCTTTACTCCGTACGGAGTACGGAGTACTCGTACTTCCCCTAAGAACTTCCGAAATTGATACAAAATTAGCGCCAGCTGAGTGGATCTCGGGGAAACGCCTGTGGCTGACGAATAGGAGTCATTAGGGCTAACAATAGGGGGAGAGTCCACGTTTCGACCAAAAAATAGACTGTAATATACGTACAATATAGGACATTTCACACATTAAGCATGCGAACCAAACTATTTAGTGATTCTACGATGTAGATCCTTATTATGGAAAAACTCTGTATATCATAAGCCTGAAAAAGACCCGGGGGGATATTAGGATCAGCACTCGGCTCTAGGCTCGACTCCACATTGGAATTGGGAAACCTTCCAATTTTGATTCGTTTCAACGGTGTGGCTAGTTCAAGGCTTGCAATCTAGGTTTTGGCGTCTAGGCACATACAACATAGCGATATGACCTTACCTTCAAATGTTGGTTATTCCTTCAACCCTACATTTACACCGATAATACTGTGTATCCCTTGTAAAACAGCGTGAAATACGAACGGAACATGGGACTCTATAGTGATGGAATACTTAAACACTTAAAAATGTTATATCGACCTCCTGAAAATCTTGCATCTGTAAATTTAAAGTCATTTTAAGTTAATCTACGGAGTACTCCGTACAGATAAACAAGAGCAAGTCACATGACACGATCTTTATGATTGCAATGCTTGAAACAACGCTAAGCCCGATATAGATTAATGTGTTTTTACAGGATATCAACGAGTAAACAGAGCTTATTTGAAGGACCATAGGTGATTTCTCGACCACAATGTTTTGTCTTGTTAATTCACGCCTTGCAGGCCTTCATGATATTTTAAATTTGGCCATACCCTTTCCAGAGTCATCGCGCGTCTCGCCTGAGCAGCCTTATTTGCTTTGACAGCATCTGCAAGCGCACCTGCGCTGAGAACATAACCGAAGATGATAAATGGTCCGGAGGAAGGATCATCAATAACAGAATAAATATCCATACCCAGCAGAATGGCTTCACCAGCCAAAGCGATAAACCGCCCACACTGGCAAGCCTGTTAATCGCGCCGATGACCTCGCCGCCAATGAGAATGAGGAAGAGGAAGGCTGAGAGGAAGAACAGATTTGACACTTGTGGTTTTTCTGTTCCACTGTATCAACGACTTCTTGTATCGATGCAATTGCCTGGCGAATCATCAGGATGGGTACTGACACAGCATCGACCATATCCAAGTCGGTCCGGCTGCGGTGTGTCGATGCGCTGTGATATGATGACCATTCTGAGGCCCTTACTGAAGTCCCCTGTTCTACCCAGGTACTAGTCAGAGATTATGTCCTTGAGATCGGCCATATCGTACTCGTTGCTGATCATAATCCGTACTGGTAGGCGGAAATTGAAGTCGGGGCGGTCCGATTAGCGTTGCGCTAGTTTATATCTCATCTCCACCATATGGATTGAAATTGCAATGGTTTTGAATTAAAACAAGATGCCGTAACTTCGACGGAAAGGGTGCTCTCAAAGCCGGCCGTAGGTTGAATTCTACTCAATATATTGTTGGTCATGCTTAGTAATGTCTGGATCCTGATGTCAGTGCAACAACTGGCAACGTGGGCAGACCTTCCGATATCTTTCTATTTTGAGTTCACTTCTAATGGTAGAAGAAAGGTGCAATAAATACGTAGAAAGGAAGAAGGTAGGGCAACCTTAACCTCTCCTTCCACGGCCCCTTCTACGGTATCCACCACGAGGTCTCCTTGGATCCGGCCACAACCCCACCACTTTCTAGACTCAGCATCTTAACTGTCTTGCTGAATGGGGTCAGCTGGTTAAATTACTGGCATGTTGTTTTACCTTGGAAAACGGGCCCCTTTCGTGACTCCTCTTTTGCCGAAGATGGAAATAATGACTCCGAATTCCTCGTGTTTTCTATGATTACCAGGCAAGTTACCCTCGGTGACCCTGGGTATTTCACATAGTTGACTCTACATAAGAGATTTCCCATCTTAGCTACTGCCGCTGGTATAAGCAGAAACCTAGCCTCAAAAGATGGGACAAGGTAGTCTATTACATATTAAACGTCGGATACACACAAGAAGCTCCTTGACCATCCATGAACCTTGTTAATAGTCGATGAGCTCCATTCGGTTTTAGAGAAACTTGCGGCTGATTTTCCGATGACCGCGCTAGGAGAAGACAAGAGACGCATTCAACGCCCAAAAAACGATTACTGGATAGAGCACAGCACGTATTGCGACATTATACCCGAAACTCCTAGTCTGTACTTACATGTATACTAAGGCATGGTCTTTTCCCGGAGCGACGTCAAGGCCTGCTCGTCACCGTTGTACAAAATTTCCACCTCTTATAGAACCAACGGACTAGTGACGAGAAGCCAATGTGTCTCTTTCCATAGAGTCGCTTATGCTCATGCACCATAGTGAATGTACGGTGCCCAATGCAACGGCCGTCTTTGAAAATCAGGACTCGTGGCGAGCGCCGAGGACGCTTTGTTTAGTGCGAGTGCAATATCTCTGTCGGTGTATTGCACAGTACCACTCCGACAAAGTTCAGTGTAAAACGACCTTGCAACCACCGCACAGACCTCATCACTAGATGGCCATAAAGTTCCAATGACATGTCTGAATCCGGCAACCTGGAACCCACTCACAACGTGGAGCATCTCATCCATCACAGAAACTGCTGTGTTCTGTGCAGTTGAGCAAGCGGAAAGGTATGCAATTTCCCCTTGTGTTAGATTGCTCATGCAAAGTTTTTCAACGCTCAAGATATCCTGTCTTAGGGTTTCAGTGTCGCCTGAATTGTCAGTGTCAGGTGAGGCTCCAGTATCGGACTGTAATATAAGGCCACTATCTAAGGGTGTTCTCCAGTTGGAAAGTCCATGGCAGGCAAAATGGGCAATATTGTATTCAGGAATCTGGCGTATGACACTTGCAGAGTCAGGTTGGTCTAAAACCTCCACTTGGGCACAAGGACCAAGTATTTCCAAAACAGTAGACCTTTCAGTCTCAGTGCCAGGCAAGTCGTCAGCGCCGGGCGTTGTCCCCATAGTGACCATAAGCATCTTCCGAGGATGTGCGCTGGAGAACGGGGAAATGGGAGTCCGCTCTCTAGCGTGTATGAGTGCCTTGATTGATACGGTGTAGGAAGACAAAACGCGACAGAATGTGTGTTCTGTCGATCCTGCTGAGAAATCGGACGCGGCATGAAATGGGAAGAAGCTGGCGATTCCAGTCCCAATCCACCAGACTCTAGGGAGGCTCTCGGGAGAGGATTGAACGTCATGGCCAAGATGCGAAAGAATAGGCTTCACGCATTCGTGCCAGAGCCAGGCTAAGAATTTGCGGTATTCCTTGTTCTTCCTACCACGTTCGCTGGGCGAAGCCCAGATCATGTTCTCCATAGCCCAGGCTTGAGCTTCGGTGGCATTGAATCGAGGAAGAGAAACAGAGTCTATCCCGGTTGATGAGACAATGATAGCATCACTCCTTAGCCCAGACATATTGATCACGATGATACTGCCCTCTATAGAAGCATGTTGAATTTGCTCCTTAGTGAGACCTAGCTGAAAGGATTCAAAGCCTGGAAGGCGTCATATATCCTGTATGCATTTTTCGAAATCGCCAACAGCTTTAGGTTGTTTTGTATATTTCCATTCATTCTCGTGAGCTGTTATAGATCTCTCAAAAAGAGTGTTCACTTGGAGGCGGAGAGTTTCGTAAAGTGAACATAAGTCGGGATGGGCCTCCTTCAGTTTGGTTGTATCACTCCGGTCATCCATGAGAAGACTGAGAATAACACCGCGTCCACTCTCTAAAAGTTGTAGACCATTGATAAGAGGCTGTTTCACTTGAAGAGAAAAGGAGCATCCCAATGTCGCCAAGCCCAGGAAATGTGTAACGATCCATCGTCGATCATCCAGTGCCAAAGACCTTGAATGAATAATTTGAAGAAGATCGATAGCTTTCGTAGATAATATGTAGCCGCTTTGGTGGTCTCCGCGCTCGAGTAAGAGCTCTACAAGTTGGGTAGCAACGTTGGCCCGCATTATAGGAGATGCGCTTGTGGTTTGAAAAAACTGCTGCATTAGTCGAATTGCTTCGTCGAGAAGCTCTACCCGCTTTGTCTCTTTATATTGACACCTGAGCAGATTTGGGTGCTGACAGAGAAACCATATAAGATGAGGATGGCCGTTAGGAAGGCTTTGGATTGCTTTCCCGGACATTAAAATTGCTTCTTCAAGATCTCCTATGTCCCCTGATTTCTGGTACCGACTTGCAAGTGTGGTTCCAAGGGTGTATAGCAACATAGGGTGGTCAGGGTGGTCAGTCTGAATAGCCTGAACCCCGTGGCGAGATATTTGAAGTGCCTCTTCGAGGTCTTCTGTTTGACCTGTTAGTTCGTATCGAGAATGGAGCATCATTGCAAGGTTTCTTGATTGCATTATTTTGTTATGGTAGTTATCGGTAGTAAGCTGAATTCCTTGCCGACATACCCGGATGGCATGGTCAAGAATCTCAGGGATATGTTGTCGTAAGTATCCGCGAAAAAGCTTGTTTCCGAGGCCATTTAATACGCCTGCAAGCTCAGGATCGTTCTCGGGAAGGAGCTCGACTGCCCGGAGAAAAATACTAGTCGCCTGGTTGAGGTCTTCTATCCGCCCTATTTGTCCGTATCGACGTTCAAGGCTGTTCCCAAGGTTTATGAACAGCCCAGTTTGATTGATATGGCCTGTAGAAGTGAGCTGGACTGCCTTGATTAACACTTCAATTGCCTCGTCGAGGTCTTCCATTTTCCCCGTCCGTTCATATCGTTGTCCAAGCGCGATTCCAAGGTTATTTAGTGGCTTCTCAAGATCGACATCATCACTAGACATGATTTGAATTGCCTGGCGAGATATCTGGATCGACTCTTCCAGGTCCTCTTCCAGACCTGAACGTCTGTAGAGTCGGATGAGCTGACCGCCAAAAGTAGCAAGAACCCCTGCAAAGCCAGGCTCGTCACGAGGTGCGATCATGATCGCTTGGCGGGATAGTCGAATTGCCTCGTTGAGGTCCTCATTTTGCCCTGTTCGGTCATATCGCATTTGAAGCAAATTTCCAAGGTCGCTCAGTAATTTATGATCATTACCAGGAATGACCTTCATGGTCTGGCGACGTAGACAAATCAACTCATCGATGTCCTCTATCTGCCATGTTCGTTTGTATCGACGTGCAAGCTTCATTCTGAGGTATTCCAGAACTGTTGCAAAGTGTATGTCATCACTAGGAGTGTTCTGTGAAGCCCGCCGACATAACTGAATTGCCTCGTCCAAGTCTTCCTCCTGTCCTGTTTTGTCATATCGCCTCTCCAGCATACGTGCCAGGACGGTTGACATTGCTACAATGGCTGGCAAGCCATCAATAGTGGTCTGGGTTTCCTCGCGATATTCCCGGATTGCCTCTTGCGACGCATGGATTGCCTTGTCCAGGAATTCTATATGCCCTGCTTTTTCAGGGTCACTCTCTTCAGGATCACTCTCTTCAGGATCACTCTCTTCAGGATCACTCTCTTCAGGATCACTCTCTTCGGATTGATTCTCGGGCTCGCTATCAGAGTTGCTGGTTTCTGAATCGTCGCTGTCTGGAAATGTGTGGTGTGAGAAAATTCATTGAAACTAAGGGGAGTCGAAATAACCTACCGGAATCTTCTATTCCTTCCTTTTTCTTGTACTCTTTGTAATAAAATAGACTCATGAATTGCAGGACGGCCCATCGTGGAATCTTCTCGGTCTGATCATCGGCGCCAACATCATCATCGCTGGCTCCAGCTGACCCACAGGAGAAGTCTTCGTCGCCCATCGCGACTTCCGACATGGCCTGTATTGCTTCAAGTGATTTGACTGCCTTATGGGCTTCGTAAAGCTGGCGGCACATCATGACCATCTCCACAATATCTTCCTGCTCTAATTGCATATCAAACGCAACTTGGAGATTACTCATCATGGAGTCATGATAGTGCGAATAAGAAGGGTCATTCTCGGTTGTATTGGAGACCGCTGCCGAGAAAAGTGCACTAGCGTTGCAGAGATCTTGAAATTTCCCTGTGTCATGGTACTTTCGTTCGAGGAGATGACCTAAATCAGCCAACCAAGCTGGGTCCATATTGGATCGAATAGTGTTGGATTATCCACTTGAATGTTGCTGAAAGATAGAGAGATCGAGAATCCATGGGATCACACAGCTATAATATACGGCGACTCAGAGCCCAGAGTGTAGATTCCAGGCTGACTTACAGACAATTGATTCGCATGCGGACACTTCAGCATGGATGGAGGCAGCTCTGCGGCGACCGGGCGTAAGGATGCTAATAATATTGGCTGACATATCCAAAAGAGGAATGAAAAAGAAACTAAGAAGAAACTAAAAGCATGTAACCACCTTTTCACGAGTCATTGCACTATTGGTTTGGAATCAAGTTCATCTTGGCGTTTGTCGAATCGCCCGCATTGCTGTAGAAGGTGCCTCGGGCATCAGGTCTGCCAGCATTTTTTGTCTCATTCATGTGAGAAAAGAGGCATTTCTCTCCTTCTTCCATTTCAAACCACTCTGCAACCGCTTCTATGGCAGTAAATCTCCTCTGCACGTAATCTGTGGTAACGCACCTGGGCACCATCAAGATGAGGTCTGGTGGCTGCTTACTACGTCTTGGCAAGGGCCCCGGGGCCAGTCCCAATCTGGCCTTGCGCGTAAGGTTTCCTAGCCTCACTTTTTGTTTGATTCCCCATCTCCTACCCTATCCCGTAGAAACAGACAGAAAGCCCGTTTCCCAACTAATCCTGTGACTGCTGTCGCCGGCTGCGTGATATCTGCAGGCTGCAGGAGATGCAAACAATTAATGAGATATCCCTCCATATATTCCCCCCCATACCACGCAATTTACTCGATACTTTTCATACCGTTCTAAGTTCCCGATTTACTTGAAAATGCGTAGTAGCGTTCTTCTCCCGCAGTTCTTACTGCCACCGTCCGCTATTCAGCTAGGACGTTTCGTCACCAATGTTGACGAACCTCATCGAGATTACCTTGATCCGAAACCAATCAAGGATTTCCGCGTTATCGAAAAAGTTGCAAAACAGTACGACGGCGCCGACTCTCTTATGGCACAACGCAAATTTGTTTCTGACCTTACCGCCTTCCTCTCCTCCACGGCGTCAAGACGCACGAATGCCTCGATTCATATCAATACCAAAGAAGTAAAGACCTATTACTTGGACAATAATGGGCAGTGGTTTCGAGAGATTGTGAAGTCAGAAGATGTTCGCAAGTGGATCGAGCGTGTTATCGATGAGGGAGAGGATATTTACGTTGTGGTTGGTTATCATACCATCTTAGACGCTCATATTGCCGAGCAGTCGCGAGAACAGAAGCTTCTAAATGGAAACGTGGCTTTGCCACTCTCCAGTGCACTATTAGCATCGGGAGCTATCGTGCCATTCGGTGATCTAGCCGACCCTAGACTAGCCGGCTCTAGTGGGCGCGCGGAAAGCTTGCAACGACAGTTTGTGGCTCAAGGCGAGCAAATCATGGCGGTTCAATATCGCAAGGTCCGATTTCGGTTTCTGTCAAGTAAATCCATTGACAAAGCAACGCTTGCTAAAGAGCCGAGATGGGAGAGATATGACCGCCCACGTTACCTTCAGAGCGATATGGAAGACATGGTAGAGGTCGCACTGGAGGATGATCTGTCACTTGAAGGTGAACGTGACAAGCTTACAGGATCGGAGGAAATTATCTTCTCACCTGGTGAGGTTGACTTATGATAGTGGTCTCGGTCTTCTGATCGCATATTTCTAGCATGCTACAGTAGTTGACAAGTTGGGCTTCTACAAAATTTATGCTTTTTCACTCTTTCTCAGCGCCACTTTCGGGGGAGCTGGTCCACTATAACCTTAGCCCATTATTCTGGTATTTCACCTATTTCACCTATCGAATATGACGGAAATCTTGTTGAATGCCTCAGGTATGTGATCTATAGTTTGATAACTCTCTCTCTCCTTTCCTCCTTTTCTTCTTTTTTTCTTGGTCCATTCTTTCAATGTGAGGGGACATACATTGTTTCTAGAGAATAAGGTATTTTCTGACTACTAGTTAGAATATGCTAAGCAAATAAGGGGCCGAATGGACCTTCTATGCCTAATCGGGTAAAATGACGCAAGCTACCTATATCCATGGATAGATATAGTTTTATGGTTTCAATTATTATGGGAATTTCCTATACAATCACCGGATATTCAAACTATCATTTCACTCAATTTCCACCTTTATCGAACTACCATCACTCTCGTTACTCACAACTAACCGGTTATCACTCCACCTTTGTTTTCCACTTGTTCGGTCAACTCAGACTTCGCCTCCATCTGTGTGAGCTAAACATCTCCTCCAATATGCAGTCGGTCCTCGATATTTGCTCTTCAGTGGTGCCTCGATCATGGGGAAGGCGTACTCCACCTGAGACTCCCAATATGAATACACTAGCCGGTCTCCCTGTCGAGCTATTATTATCAATAACCGACTTCCTCCCTCTGAATGATCGTATTTTCATTTCACTCTGCAGTTGCCGGCTCTTTGCCATATTCAACCATCGAACCAATCCCGCTCGGCCATTAGGAAAAGGCAAACTGCCTGTTTTACGCCGACTGGAACGAGATCTACCGAAATACTTCGTTTGCTATGTTTGCCATATTCTTCATATGTATGATGGTTCAGAACGCTTCGGTCTATCTGGCTCGATATACGACCAGCAACAATGTCCTCTTCGATGTTTCCAAAAATGGGGGGAAAATGGCCGTGGTTTAGAATTGAGATATCAAGGACCGAACTGGTTACATGTCTACCGCAAATTCTACTTTCTCCATCTTCAGCTTGCTATGAGGAGATTCTACTATGGTGAAAAGTTTGGAATTAGCACTGAATCTTTATCCCACACCCAAGTTCGCACCTACCCCGGACCATCATCGTGCCCTGAAATCACCTCTCTCTTTTCATCCGATGCACAGATATGTCCAAAGACACCAGGACTTTGTTTAAGAACCCAGCATATGATGTTCGTTCATGGTAGGAAACCGAAATTACTCCTTTCTCGGAAGGCTATTGAATCTTCGTTGAAACCTCCACGACATATGTTTATTTGCATACACGTCTGGCGTCGGAGACATGTCATATTACTCAATACCGTGGTGAAAGCCTATATCAGCGGAGAGAAAGCCCCCAGTTCCAATCATACTTGCGACATATGCGCTGCAGATTTCCGTATCGAAGTTTGTGAATATGGATCTGATTTGGCTCTGATTCTTACAACATGGATTAATCTTGGCCCTGGTTTGACCCCAGATGACCCTCGATGGACAGTCCATAGCTGGAGTTGGAAGCTTGACAAAGTGAGACTCGATCCAAAATATCGGAAAGACAGTCCGCGGGTCTGTTTTGAAAATGTGTCGCCTCAGTCGTTAGAGGCCTTGCGGTCATGCAACCTTTCCTACCTTAAGGACCAGCGATATAAGCAGATTATGTATCGAATCTATATCCAACTAAAAGTTCTTGGGGAAGTTACTGGTTTATGCCCTAAGGGTTAGCTGCTGAGGGGCAGGCTACCCGAATCTGCTCCCCTCGCTCTTGCTTAGTTTCAATTTAAGACATTCTCACAGAAGACTTTCCTATAGAAATTCCCTTAGGCCCTCAGCTTTACCTTCATCTTAACCTGCAAACCTCGAATAAATGACATAGCCGTAGGGTCGCAGGGTAAAGTCCGCAGAGTAGATGAAACTAGTCTATACTAGTATTTACTATGATTATACCGGTTTATTATTTAGTGATACTTGGTAATTCTGCCTTACTATTTACCAATTCTTTGCTGATCCGGCACTCGTTGATCAGCATACGCCGCCTCAATATGTTTTAGGATCAAGGCTATTAATCAGTCGTCGTATAAGGCATGGCGCAGTGCGATAACAAAATGAGCAGGACTTTATAGGTCCAAATCCTGAATAAAATATGCTCGCTCGAGCGATGCCCCCAATAGCATCTCCTTCTGGCAGTTCTCTGTGAGATATTCGTGGAAATTATTGCGCTTCTGGCACCATATGCCCTGGCGACAGACAACTTGCGCCACGTTCCTGAAAGCGGAGCTGCACGACTCTCGTGTGCATAATTATATGAGCTTTGACAGTAGATCTCACGTAACGCGGAACTGCTCAAAAGAGATGTCGTCCTTCAAACGATACACGTACAGCGTCACATACATACGTGGTTCTAACAGATAATGATACTACAGCCTCCTACACTACCGTGCAAGGGTAATCGCCCTCGCTATCATCTGCAATGGTACCGTATAATTTGGCGACTGTGGGCAGGATATCTTGTGAGCCATCCCTTCCAGTCAGCAGAGAGAAGCTAGGACTAGTAGGTTCGTGGTGGGCCAAGATGCCACTTTAGGTAGTCTGGTTGAGATAATCTGAGTTGGATGAAGGACCTCCGCACCTCCAATCCTTGTTGATATCATACTTAGCGAGCAAAGAACGACAAGGGGTGAGCACTAAAACGGAAAGGGAAATCCATGTCGCGCGACTTAAAATCTGGTGTGTATGTAGCTAATCTTCCCGAGGTTGAAGGCTGTCTTCCAAGGATCTTCGATCTCTCTTAGCGCCTGTTGTGTCGGTTGTGTCACTTGATACCCATGACATTGAATAATTACGTCTGAAAAATTGGGGGCGAAAAGAAGAAAAAAGCACCAAATACAAAATAATCGTACGGGTGAGCTCCGGTTTACTATGTAGGTAGTGTTGGTGGACTAGTACATATGTAGTGCCCGATAGTCTTGGTAAGGGTCTCACAAGGGCCATGGAGGTTGCCAAGAGAGGTCAAAAGGATTTTATGCTTATCTCTCATGAATTTTGAATAAGTGGCTTGCTACTATATATAGTACATAGTTATCCTACCGTAACTATGTACAGAATACTACATAGTACATGGTACGTAGCGATAAGACTTAGTCTCGCGCTACGTATCAATGGCCCGATACCTCAATTTTGACGATGCTATACCAAAAACTACTAGTATCACTATAGTAGCGAATGAGAAGCAAGCAAATAAGATATTAAAATGCTGATAGTACAAAGTACTATAATGGGATAATGGTCGCACGACCTCCTTCCCGCTTGGTCTTAGGTATATAATCCTCGCCGAATTCGGTATAGGGCCGGGGATACCTTTACAGCCTCAATCTTTGCTTCCAAGCTTGGTACTTGCCAAGAAAATGTAATCTAATATAATACCTACAGTTACATACATAAGGTATTACCCAAAACTGAATGTGAGGATCATCCCAAGGTTATCTCCCCTTACCATCGAACCCGGCAGTCTTGCTTCCTGTTCACAAGTACCCCATGCAGATGTGTAAAGTCTACTTGTCTCGATTGAGTATATTCGCCGAAGAATAATTTTGCTCCAAGGGCCCCGGGGGGCTAAGCTATATTAGTAATGAACACCCCTCCTCGGCTGTATATTAGCGTGCTGCGTCAGCGCAGGTGGAGAATGATAGGGATACTAAATCAACAATAAATCCAGGTATTCCGTAGCCCTTTTCTTCTTATCTATCCTTTGCATTGTCCTGGCTTTTAGCATTCAGCACATCATGAATTTCAATGGGCTGTCCTGGCCTACGAAGCACCTTCACACGAGCACTAGAGACGGATCAACATGGGGCTATGTCATCTATCGCACCACATATACTCCCCAATCCAACGTCGCATTCCTCCGAATCATCGATCTTCTCAACTCCTACATGAAACATGGATTATACTCTGAATGTGTCTCCTCAGGAAGCAATCCCCAAACAAATACAGAGCTCGCTTCATATCACGAGATCTGGGCTCAGCACCGTCCAATCATTATGAACCATCCAAAATTTGATGGAGCATCAATAGACTCGATTCGAGCTCATTTCCAACGCTGGGCTGATTTGCAGGAGGATCAAGGTCTCTCGATTCAGTACCGCATGTGTATGATGATCGACGAAGAGTCTTTACAGACATTGCTGGATGCTCCGCCGCCGCAGGAGTGCTTGGATGAAAAGATCATCAATCCGATGCGACATGTGAAAGTTGTACCACTACTTTCGGATAGCGATGATGAATTTGATGGTTTTATGGGTGGATAGGGAGCTTCTTATACCATTGGAAATGGCAATTATAGTAACCAAGGGCCATTTGGCTATCTCTATAGGGCTGGTATCCTTTTTCTTTTTCTTTTTCACTTAAGCAACCTAACACCCTCATGTCTTCCCTTTTTTTCAGTATCTGTCACTGTTCGATGACGATTCTTCGTTATCTATTCTCAGATATTAAGCCCATACCAAAATAGCAGCATCTCCTATTTTCATCACTCCCATACTTGTTGGAAGCCCAGAGCCATAAATAGAAACGTTATATGAATCCAGTGCGACAAGTTCCATTTATAACTAGCCTAACATACTTGAAAATTACTCAAAATACCCCGGGGATGAAGCTTTGACTATTGAAGTATATAGAAGAACCACGTGTACAACTGATGAACGATGCTTCTTTCAACTCAACTTTCAGACGCAGCTTTCTGTTTTTTTATTTCCCATATAGCCCAATTAGTAAGGTACACAGAGACAAGCTTATCAAGTCGTGAGTTGACTATTGATCAATGATAAATTTGCATTAGTTAATATCTAACAAGGTCCGTTTATGACACTTTTTGAATATCTATCGGGGTATCTTCACGGATAGAGACCATGATTATCTTTCCTAACCATCTCTAGGGACAAAAAAAGTTTGTATTATGTCCATGGCCTGTCTGGGCACTATGCAGTGGTATTGGTGCGCTTGGCACGGCATATGCGTACAGCATAGAGAGCTAGATTTAGGAGATTGTCCTACGTATGCAAACCCCACCAAGGCTGATATATCTAGTCTCCAGAATATCTACGGAGTATGCATATGTACCTTGGCAGTAGACTATGTTGTACTAGGATACTATGTACGACTACAATTTGCACTTCAAAATCGGAACCAAAATCTGACCAGTGATGATAATCGGATTAAGCGACGGGGACAAAGGCAGTCCGATGTGGACTAGTCAGACATTTAGACAGGTTCAATCCCCATGAAACGAGTGAGGAGGATACACCAAGGTCAAAGAGCTAGATCAGCGTCAGATCAGTTTTGGGAGGCTGACCAAGGCTGACCGCTACTTCGATCAAACAAAGAAATAAACAGATGTAAACAGCGGAAAGGCCCAAAACAACAAGGACAAACAACGCAGGAAAAGAAATATAAAGAAAACAGCAAAATCATGTGTTTGTTAGCATCCCTCCATGCCCCAAGCCAAAACCAGGCGCGCCACCACATTTGGGAAAAACCACGACGCCAAACGATGGAGAAAAGGTGTAAAACTACCACCTCATCAATTTACCAAGCAGCCAGTGCCGTGCATTATCATCATGGTGAACATTGCCGCAAGAGACATATGGAAAGAAACAATGAGCATCCTGTCGCGGGAAAGGAAGACTAGAATAAACCAACCGAGGGACCCGAGACCAGTCGAGGATGCCCGTATGAACATGATGCAAAAAGAAACAAAGTAAAATCAAACTGAATTTAAGAAATAAGAAAAGCACAAGTGAAAGAAAAAAACGAAAGAAACGGGCCACTCCAACAAAAAGAGAGGAAAGACGAGATCATTGAAAGAATATCATAATCTGACAAGGTGGACAATGGGCCACGGAGAGCTACGCGAAGCTCTGAGTGACCGGAGGTCCCGAGGTATCGAGCTTCAGAACTCGACGAATATCATTCTCAATTTGCCGGGTGTCCACCACCCGAGAAGGAGATGGCGAGTTCAGGGGCAGTTGGAATGACGCCGAGGCATGGCTTGGCTGAGGGGAAGCATAACCAGACCGCTGATTTTGGGAGGTTGCCATGTACGGATTGCCATACGGCGCCGGGGAACTTCCGTTCGAGGCGCTATTCGAGATAGGGCCACGGTACGGGGGCATCGAAGGGGGCGGGACGAGGTCAACCTCACGGCGTAGAGGTGAGTAAGAATGGCCGGGGTATTGGTAGTGGGGACGGCCACTGCTCTGAGGAATCTGCTGCTGTTGCAGCTGATGGGGAGAGAATGAACCATGAGACATGGTCAACTGAGGGCCAGACGAGGTTCGCATGGGAGTGGCATATGGAGGCACATTGGAAGGACGGGGCCCAAATGATCCAGCGTAATCGGGAGAGGCATAAGCCGAGGAAGGCGGCTTCTGCGGGGGTGGATTGAGTAAGAGATGCTTCAACTCCTCGGTCTTGATTCGTCGCTCCTCCTCAGTCATGTCAGAGGACTGAGGGGTACTCGAGGGTCGCAGCGCATTCATACGATCTTGGTAAGAAGGAGCGAAAGAAGGACCGATGTTTGAGTTGCGAGGGTAGTCAGAGTTTCCCATTTCGAATGAAAGCATGCTATCAGGATTGGGGCGCACGGCCCTGGGTTCGGTCTGGGGAGACTGAAGGACCTTGTTCACCTCAGGGCTGCTCGTGGACTTCTGGTCTCTGGCTTGCACAGCAGCCTTGAAAAGGAAATCGAGAGGGGAAGGCTTGTGCTCTTCGGCCTTGAATTGGTTGTTGCGGTTGCGAGGTTTGGACGGAGTCACCTCTGGTTCGGGGTCCACCTCCGCATCGTCACTATCGGTCTCGATGGGTGGGGCCAGATTGGCATCAGGAGCTGACTTAGAGAAGAAGCTAGGAATGGGTAAAGCAGATGGCGCAGGCGATGCATGGAATGTCGGTCCCGCATAGGCTGCGCTCGGCTTTGTCTGAGGAGAGGTGACAGCGGGGTGGGTCGGTGTGTATCGGGGACCGCTATTGTACCCGTTGCTGTGGTATCCAGAGTGCGGGGCAGGTGAAGCCTTGTTCTCTCGGGGTTTTTTGCCTGAGCGCATAGGTTTCTTCTTCGAAGAGTTGAAGTTTGAGGCATCAATCTGGATGATACCGGGGCTCATGTTATGCGGCGGGGATGATGGAGGAGTAGAGAGGAGCGCCGGTTTCTGGGCATGAGGGGTCGTATTCTTCTTCTGAGGGCGACGGTTGTTGCGCGATCCCTTAGGAGTTGGGGGATGAGGAGATTGGGCCGACATGTCGACGGTTGGCTTGAAAAATAGGCAGCCTGTGGAGAGAGGTAAAGAGAAAAGGCAACGCTATGACGAAGCAGTAAAAGGCGAAAGATGCGGAGATTGCAGGAAAATGAGTCAGATCACTGCTCAGCAGGTGTCGACAATATTAAATATGGCAACGCCGGGGGAAGCAGAGAAAGTGACGTGTATCAAACGGAGGGAGTGAAAGCGTCGCAAGTTGAGTCAATCAGATGTCGCTCAAAGGCAAAGATAGACAGTCTATTGAAAGATCTTGTCTATGAAACGGAGAGCGTAACAAAAGTCAAAAACTAAGATCAACTGGAGGCATCTCTAAAGAGGAAAAAAGAAGTGAAGGAAAGGAAGATTGAATCATTGTTGTTGGTTGAAGGGAAAGACCATTGAATGCAGACAAACGGGGAGGGGACCCCGATCTCATCTCGATGACTAAGGACGCCACCTGCTTCACAATATCAAGAACAAACCAAATCAAACAGAACTATCAACTGCTGGACAGGGTCGCATTATTGCATTATTGCGTTGAGTACCTTTGGAGATATCTCTTGTTTTAACTCCCCCCAAAAGGTACCTAATTCGTTCTATCTTGACTCTTTACCTTACAATCACAGCCCATCACCGCCCCAACCTAGTTAGACATCGGAGCCTCACTTACGTCAGTCACAGTTCTGATCCCCCCACCCCAGCTAGCTTCTGTTGTCTCGCGCCAAGCATTTCAAACCGACACCATCCAAATTCCGACGAGAACCTCAATATGGCAGACGTGGAGATGAAGGAAGCCGCTACTGGCTCCTCCAAGGGCAAGGCCGTGGCCAAGGGCTCCGATAATGCCGACAAGAAGAAGTTCGAGGTCAAGAAGGTACACAAGGACCTACTGTTCGCAGCGACTTATGATACTGACTTGTCATTGTTAAGTGGAACGCTGTTGCCCTGTGGGCTTGGGATATCGTCGTTGACAACTGTGCCATTTGCCGAAACCACATCATGGACTTGTGTACGTTGAAACTACCCTTCAAAGCTCTCTTATCTTACAAGCTGACCGACCGACGAAACAGGCATCGAATGCCAGGCCAACCAAGGATCATCAACAACGGAAGAGTGCACTGTTGCCTGGGGTATCTGCAACGTGAGGAACCCCGCATCCACCCCATCCGACCATATGACCATAGGCTAATCATTCCTATTTCTATAGCACGCATTCCACTTCCACTGTATATCGAGATGGCTGAAGACCCGCCAAGTTTGCCCGCTAGACAACCGAGACTGGGAGTTCCAAAAGTATGGCCGGTAAAGAGGGGGCACCGGGGGTTTCAAAGACACTACACGATACAAATTCACGATTTCTGGCTGATGCCGCATGCTCAATGGCTATAACTTTTTTTTTTTTCAAAGACGCTTCTGAATCTTTACGACGGCCTAGGGTTTGGGCGTTCGGACGATTGATATCTCGAGCCGGCTCCATAGTTTCCCATTCTCATATTCCGTAGCAGACAAGAAAGTGCTGCCCAAATGCTTCCAATGATTACTACGCTTGACAATTTCTCAACAATAGCCTATTGCACCTTCACCCCGTCCACAGTTATACCCGGAGTTGCTCTCGCGCTTGGTGAGCCCAGCCATTTCTCTGGGTTACGGTTGTATACCGGCCAGGGTGGGACAACGACGAAAGCTGTAAACAGTGTGCCCGCCAAACCAGTCCATAACATAAGGTGGATGTCCTTGTAGATGTATCCGACGATGAAACTAGCGGCCTGGAGCAGATAATCGTTAGCTCTGGTAACAGAAGACTCAATATCCGTGCAACATACCCCCGAGATAACCAGCAAGATGGTCGACAGTAGCTCTGCTAGACGTTGGCCGTGAAAGTCCTGTTATCGAGATCTTGTTAGCTTGGATCGTCCGCGCAGAGCAATAACAATGAATGGAGACGGTCCGGCGGGGCGTACAATTTGGCCTTCAATGGCATCCTGAATAGGGGCGAGTAATTCATCCATGATTGAAACAATTTAATCAGATTCGAGGTCAACTGGCTGGGTTCGAGGATCCCTTGATCGATGCACGACGGCTTATCGCAATGGTGTCATTTGATTTCTGCCACCTCGGACCGCCTTTATCTCTACATTGTACACGACATTCATGTTAGTTAACTAAGTGCGAAGTACGAAGTACAACCTGCAACATAATGTTAATTCCAAATGGGGTTGCTCCTTGAGAAATTGACCCGATATTAAACTTTAATCATTATGTGTTTGATCATGATTTCATTCGATGTCATCTGCCATCTATCTCTAGAACCAAAAACAGACGGTCCACCCGAGTTGGAGCGCTGCCGATGAGAAGCCGGCCTCAAGAACCTCGGCCTATGATCGTGTACTAGTGTACAAGACCCTGTAAATCCAAACTTAATCCGAAACCAACTTGCCGTGTCGGAAGGCTCACATGCACCCTTCTATGCGAGAAGCAAGGAGCGGTGAGAACGAGATCTTGCATGACCCATGTGGCGGTTAGGGAAGAAATCTTCCTTCCCATATCCAACCAAATACGAGCTCCCCTCGAGTCCCAATGCTCCAATGCTGCGTGCCTGTATGTCAAGCACGGCGAACCGCTGACTCGCAGGCAGCGGTCGTGTTATGACGACAGAAAAAGCGCCGGCATTTAGTTATAGGTGACAGTTGCGCCATCCTGTGCAGGCTCCAGCAGCTTCCATTGGCAAGAGATATCATTGGAAGCGAACTGTGCGATAATGCGGTCAGCAATCTCGGTGAAGCGATCCGTGGCCAGTGCTAGGATGGTAGGTCCTGCACCGGAGAGACAGATTCCCAGCAGACCGGGTTGCGTGGCAGGGGTCATGAATTGAAGAATCTCAGTCAATCCTGGGATCAACGTCTTGCGGTATGGTTGGTGCACTTTATCCTGCATAGCGAGGAAGATCATCTCAGGATCCGGCGGGGAGCTTCCCAAGGCCGCGGGGAGGAGTGCAGCGCGCTGGAGATTGAAGACCTAGTCGGAGATTAGTCTAAGATCGGACAGTTAATCAAATCGGAACATTCACATACCACGTCCGCCCTCGAGTAAGTCTCTGGGAGTACATTACGAGCATTGGCAGTAGGAACCACAAAGTCAGGGATAATGGCAATGGCCTTGATCTCTGGAGCCCAATTGAACTTCCTGTAATGACCAATGGCCATGGGTGGTGCGGGGGGTCTGATACCGGTGTCCACACCACCTGCCGGAGCAGGCAGGACTTCACTGAGGGGGATCTCTTTGCGTGCCACATCCTCGGGCTTAAGCTCATTCAGATAGGTGCCCACGAATCCACCGAAGAGGGAAGCAGCCACGTTATCCGGGTGCCGCTCTGTTCGTATGCGTTAGTAAGATGTACGACATACGACTCATATATATTTTTGCTCCGGAGACTCAAATGAGGGGCACATAAAACACTCCAACCTACCAATCATCAAACAATAATCGAGTAACCGTTCCTTGCTCAAACCCAGCTTACCCACCTCATTGCCCAGCATGACACCGGCGACCACAGCAGTACCAGAGGAACCCAGACCCCGGCCTAACGGGATGGGGTTGACGATATGCACCTTGGTTTCAACGGGGAAGGCCCGCTGATCATGGCATCTGAGGACATACAGGGCTACACGGGTGATCAGATTGACTTCTGGGTCGAGACTGATCTGCTCAACACTCTTGCTTTGGTCCTCATAGGTGATGGCGCAGTTGAAAGGGAGCTGGGATGAGGGTTTGGCCTCGACGGTGACGTGGAGATCCAAGTGAAGGGACAATGCCAGGCCGATCACATCGAAGCCAGGGCCAATGTTGGCAGAGGAGCAAGGGATGCTGATCACAAAGGAAGTCATGATAGAGGTATATGTGTGTTACAAGGGTCCAAACACACAAAGTGTACAAGATCGCTTGATAGTCCGGGATGTGACTCTGAAACTCTTGGCACACCAAAAAATTTGGCCGACGTCGGAAGAAGTGGAGACTTTCTTCTTGTATCGACTCATTGGATATCTTTGCGTTTAATTTGATTTGATTTGATATGATTTGATTTGATTTGTGGCATAGATGTCAGATCCGATTGTATACATTATAGGTGTTTCTTCACTCTATACTCCGGAGTTTTACATTAATGAACATCCATGGATGTTCCACATAGAAAAGGTGAACCATCAGAAAAAGAAAGCATTTTCACCGAGATAAGTTGCTCTAGACTGATATTATTGCGTCTGCCTAACCTGAAGATATCAACAAAGCCGAGGGCGACAAAGCTCCAACGGCGCTTAGATTATGTAGTATGTTGTATGTTGTATATGACTAGGGGGGAATGTAAAAGGTCAAAGCTGCAAAGACGACATTCGGCACAAAAATGCCTCAAAGCGATACTTCTGCATCGGCAGGCAAATTACTCCGTGGTCTAGTCAAGAATAGGCTATTTTATACTCCTCTTTTACTCTTTTACTAGTATAGGTCATTTTTAGTCCTTTATCTGCTAAAACGGGGGGTACCCGCTTGCAAATTTTTTTCCACTGAGCTTTGTCTCTCCCTTTTTCTCGGACATATTAGTTCTAGCCCCCCCACTATTTTTCTTATTTTCTCCTATAACTGTAGCCCCCTGAGGTGCTTTACATTAAAGATCCCTATCGCAAGTCTTTTTGATATCCCGTGGTGACTCTGTGGGCGGCTTCCGGAACCACCTCGGCATCATCGACTCCATTTGGTCTTTGCCACTTCGTTTTATACCTTTTTCCCACTCTTCCCACTTTTCCCACTAAAGTTGACTCCCAACTTTTTTGTGATTTTGAACTAGAATTTTCATTTGATTTGATCTCTGGCAAAGCTCGAGAACTCGAATTTGAACATCAATTGTCATTGAACTTGCCTGCGAACCGTTCGCGCTTCTCGTCTAACAGCAACCCTGGAGCCACCAAGCTCCTCATCCTCCCACTTCTTCAAGTTGGCGGGACTTCGCTACACCAAGGCCTCTCTCCTTCACCCTCTTGCAGGCCCCAAGTTCCGGGTCTTTGGCGGGGGCGACACCAGACCTCCCTAACTGGGTTTCAGGAAAGTCTTTATTGTGGCCGTCAGACGTTAGTCGGTAACGCCAGACCCCCGTGAAGGGTCTGGCTTATGGATGGAGGGCCGTCACCCTTGAACGAACCTCTTACCGGCTTGCGTCTGCTCCGGCCGTCGTGCTATCAAAGAGCAAACATAACTAAACTCAAACTTCCCACAAAAATCTGCCAATCTGGCGCCCTAATCACTTTCGTCGAATTTCCAAATACGGAGAGCTCACCATGTCCGAGTCTCCCAGATCCGAGAGGTACACGTACCTGACTAGGTACAGCACCCCGGTACCCGAACTGGATGATCACCGCCTCCAGATGCAGACGCCTCCACGCATTGAGGCTCCGGTCGAGCGTTCTTGCAGCCCGCGCGATACTACTCAAGGTCCTGAAATGATCGACCGTCCAGACTTGCTCAGTCCACAAGATGCCCGAAGAGACGGTCCAATTCCCCGAGACTTTGAAAATTCCGCGGAAGACGATCGTTCGCTGAATGAGTTGAATGGACTCGGTCGACGATTCTCAATCGACCATAACGGCACCTACCAGACCCCTCGTCGCATCAGCATTGTGAACCCGGATCTCGCTAACGCTTCTTGCGCCTCGTCCGTATCCGCTCGATCATCCTCTCCTCCCAATTCAGTTGAGGCTTTTGCCGACCCGCGTCGCCGTGAGCGCGCCAATACCCTGGATAGCCATGCGCCTCCCGACCTAGAAGCCATCCTGCACCGCACCGTTTCGGGTGGCACCCACAACCGGCGCCCAACTTTCAGCAACGCCAGTGTTATTCGCCCTCAGTTGGGTGATGTGCCATTCGACACGGCAGAGGAGGCTTGCTTCGACGAGCCAGGCCGTATTCCCGTCATCGATTACGAGGAACTCGAGGAGTTTGTGGCTCTGAATCCGAGCACCAAAATCGGCGATGATCGCCGCAAGCACAGCATGAGCTCGCAGAGCAAGAGGCCCCGCGTCTTTTACGACCTCCGCCCTGGTGCCGAAAGCTCGGAGATCGATGCACTTAAAAAGACCGGCTCGTCTGATTCACTGAGTGAAGATGAAAAGAAGGACGCCGAGGCTACAAACGAAAAGGAGCGGGCTAAACCACTCCAGAATACAAACCAGCGCTCTCGCTTTGGATTCTTTTCGTCCGAGTCTCAAAGCACAGTGCATGCTGCTGATTTGGGAGATCTGGTACTCCCTGGCGAAACCTTCCGAGACCTTTTCGAGCTTGGACCTGAGGGAGGTGTGTGGTGGTTGGATGTGGTCAACCCCACCGACGAAGAATTGGGAGCTATCTCCCGGGCTTTCTCTATTCACCCGCTGACAACGGAGGATATTCAAACCCAGGAAGCCCGCGAGAAGGTCGAACTGTTCAAACAGTACTACTTTGTCTGTTTCCGGACCTTCTTCCAAATGGACAAAACCAGCGAGGAATTCCTCGAGCCTGTCAATTTCTACATGGTTGTCTTCCGTGACGGTGTTCTCACTTTCTCCTTTGAGGAGAACCCTCACGCACACAATGTTCGGAAACGTATTGGAAAGCTACGAGACTATGTGTCTCTCAGCAGTGACTGGATATGTTACGCGATGATCGACGACATCGTAGATAGCTTCGGCCCTGTGATTCGAGATGTGGAATTGGAGTCCGAGGCGATCGAAGACCATGTATTCATTGCCCGAGTCGACGATTTTGAATCATTCCTCCCTCGCATTGGAGGCCTGCGCAAGAAGGTCATGAGCTTGATGCGTCTGCTAGGCGGCAAGGCCGATGTCATTCGTGGGTTCTCCAAGCGCTGTAACGAGCAATACTCGGTTACTCCCCGTGGTGATATTGGTCTTTACCTGGGTGATATCCAGGATCACGTCGTGACCATGATGTCGAACTTGGCGCATTTCGAAAAAATGCTCAGCCGGTCTCATACCAATTACTTGGCTCAGCTGAATGTTACCAACTTGGTGTTGGGAAACCACGTCAACAAGGTCCTCAGCAAAGTCACTCTGATTGCCACAATTCTCGTCCCCATGAATCTGATCTGTGGTCTGTTCGGTATGAACGTAGAAGTTCCCGGCGCTCACACAGAAGGATTGGCGTGGTGGTTCGGGATTCTTGGGGTGATGGGGGGTATTGTTGTTGTGAGCATTGCCATAGCTCGCTGGCAGAGGCTGGTTTGATTTTTTTTATTGTTGATTATGTTGACTTGCTATCTTTCCTTGCCTTTGTTTTGTTATTTTGAATTTTGAATGTTACTTCGTTTGTCATCATCTATTTCATCCATTTTTCTCGTTGTTTTTAAATCGCAGCATCTATTCAATAGCATACCATTTTCAGATTCTTCCAAATGACCGGAGTGTAACTTCACTGAAATTTATGTGAACTGCTATTCCAGCCAAAGAGAATTAGAATCATTCAACCTCATACTGGTATCCCTAGGAAGCTTCCTATTTTAGTCTTTGACTGGCTTTCGAGACCTTGCAGCTGATTCATCATATGTCTCGTACACCATATCCATACTTAAAGGCAATCGTTGTACGCAAGTACGGGCGACTAAATATGCCACCGGCTCATAACTCCTCATCATCTCTTTCATCACCGCCTTCTTGAAGCATATACTAACTACTCCCCTGGTTATACCTGGTTATACACAGAAAAATCTCTTGCCCAAAGTATGTCTTTTCCCCCGCCTTCGCATACATTTAAACAGACTAACTAAAAAGACATCTTAAAAGACATGCTAAAAGACCAGCTAGAAAGACTTACTAAAGAGACATTTTAAGGCCCCAAACGCGGGCGACTATTTTTATACGTAACTACAAATAAAGCTTTATATTCAAGACTGAAGACGGTTATCTTCCAAATTAGCCTTTCCGATATGCAGATCATCATAACTCTAAGAACAGAAGGCTTTAATATTACTAATAAATAATTAGTTTCTGGGCCCTGGGTGGGATACACCTTCGCATACTTGTGAAGTGAGAGTGGATCTAAATTACTGCCTGGCAATATTAACAACTGAGAGAGTTATGAACCGGTGGCATATTTAGTCGCCCGTACTCATACACCATATGCTTCCTCGAAGGCCTCGGTCCTCCAAGTTCCACGCTGCCCACTTTCCCGTCCTGACAACGATCAAGTGCATGACCAACTAGACTAGGTGGCGTATCTAAGATGTTAACCTCATCGTCACTCTTACATACCCAGAGCGGAACATGTTCGCTAATTGAACCACCCGGTCCCAACAAGCTGAACGCGTTGAACGCATTGGTCCAATGGGGAAACTAGCTCGCATAGAGCACTGTCATGAACAGCCCAGCCATATGGAACATCATCAGAATCAACGCCAGGATAATCCCCACAAGCGAAATAGAAGGATTTTTCGAGTATGCACCTTTATCATATGTAACGCCCAAAGTGGAACCATACCGAGAGAGACGAAACCTAGAGAACTACTATGAAATAGAGTGCTCTCTTGTTGCGTGGAAGAAACAAGCCATAGGAACTAAATTACGAGGAGCAGGGAAGGTGCAGCCGATGTCATGGCTCTCATCAAAGAGCAACGTAATTTAGGTGCAACACCAGTAAGTGAGAGCCTGAGACAATGAAGTCCTCTTGTAGACTTTCCAACAAGTGCCAGCATTTTGAACTAAGAAGAATTCGCGTTGAGGGAGGTAGGTACATGCCGTCCTACAAGTTGTAGTTATGTTCTGAATAAGGCAGCAAGGCAGCAAATTTGATAAGACCAACATTTTCCACGATAGCCGGCCTCATCCAAACAACGCTCACGTCGACTACATGCAGCCGCTGATTTTACCTCCAGGAAGAGGTTTACAGCTGGTGTATACCACCGCTTGCCCGTGATATCTTTACCCGTCAACTCAAATTCTGCCCATTGGCTGTGCAGCGACACCGTCCCCTCCGTCTTTCCATGCGACGCCAATACAACGCGCTGCAGTGCTATCTTACTGCAACGATTAGCGCAATCTTCCTTTTTTTTGCACTCGCCTGCGACTCGGTCGCTTATGCCGATGCCCTCGATGGTCCGGACACAGAGAACACCTTAAACCTCCCAGGGGTGGTTATCAGCGACGGGGCAGGACTCCCATTTGCGCTGGACTCGTTCAATGGGCTAGAACTTCGTGACAGTGTCGACGAAGATGGCGAGTCAAATGGGCTGGACCTCGTTCGTAGATACCCTAATGCCGCGAAAGCATTGGGCAACAATCAGTTCGCGGAGCCTGGGGCGCTCGCGATCGGCGGTGTCCACTGGTTCTACCTACCCAAATCAGTGGTGAACGGCAAACACGACACCGCAGGCCCCGGTCTTCCTGCATACATAAATGCTACGGAGGCAGATGACGGTGACCCGAGCAATGAGCTACGGAAACGAGACAGGGACTTCTCGAAGCGAGCGACGACGACAGTCTACTTGTCGCTCACGACCTGCCAGAAACCATATACCAACAAAACAAATTCACAAGGCGGATTCCCGCAGCTGCAATTGTATGTGTCGACTTCGGAGGAACTGCAGCAGCCAGGACCGGGCAAAGACGACTCGCTGCAGGATATATACACTGCCGCTGGTGGATATGTGGGCATCACCGTAGACACGGACAGCGACGTCTTCCTCGGTGTCGCAGCGCCTAATTCAACAGAATACACGGGAAGTTACACGTACCAGATCGCAGCATCTATCGATGCCTTTTTCCACAACATCGTGGACGATACACCAAATCTGTTCTTCATCGACGCGGACGTGTCAGCCGCGTTGCTCGTGACGAACAACCTGACCCAGTCTGCGAAAAATTCCACAAATTACAAGCAGTGGATGAATATCGTCCCTCCGTATACCATGTTTGCCCACAACATCAACGATACAGTATTGGAGGGCTTGGAGAAATCGTTCTGCGCTCTCGATACACTTTCGCAGGTTGGCCGAATCAGTAGTTCAACCGAGGTTGGCATGACCAATCGTGGACTTGGGAATAAGCCCAAGGAACAATTTTACATTACTGGACTGAACCAGAGTTCTTCGTACAGCGGTCTTCTAGCAATGGTGGGCAATTCGACCGCGTCCGGGAATGGCATCATTGGCGGCGGCGGCCAGGTATGGCAACCGATGAATTTCACGACCAAAACAGGTGAGCAAACCCAAACAACCCCTACCAAAAAAATTCAGTCCCATCTAACCATACTCCAGACGACAATTGCGCCGTGCTATTCAACCTAACCTTCTGCTCAGAAGTCGCATACGCAGTCCCCTCAAATCCTAAACTAAGTGTCGACAAGCTCCGCACAATCTACGACGACTACGCCACCGCCTTCTACCAAAATTTCACCTATTCCCTCCAACAAGTCCAATGCGAAACAAACGAAGAATCCATGTTCTCCCTCGCTGTTGACTGCGAGGACTGCGCAAAAGCCTACAAACAATGGCTCTGTGGCGTCACAATCCCCCGCTGTGCGGACTACAGTAACACCGCCAGCTACCTGGCTGTTCGGAACGCAGGTCAGGCCTTCATCAATGGCTCTTCTCTGCCAGATGATAGTCCGTACCGTCAATCTGTGGCGTCGAATACATCCCGCAATGCTATCATCGATGAGCAGATCATGCCGGGTCCCTATAAAGAGATCCTGCCCTGTCAGGATATCTGTCATACCCTTGTTAAGAATTGTCCGTCTGCACTTGGATTTGGATGTCCTGAAGGTGCGTGGATGAACTCTTCCTATGGGTATCGGAATTCAGACGGTATTATTACTTGCTCTTATCTTGGGGCTGTGTATTATTTGAGTCTTGGGGTGAGGTTGGGTGTTTGGGGTTGGGTGTTTAGTCTGGTGGTTATGGGGGTTATGTATATGCTGTAGATAGATATGATTGTATACTTGTGATATTTGATATCCTTTGAGCTCCTCATCATCTCGAGTATGAACGAAGTTCTGAGACATGACAACGCAAGTGGGTCACCATGCGGTAGTTTCTTACTCTTTTCGGTCAAAAATAATACAAAACTGCCGCATATACTCCGCTGATTGATTACATATCTTTCCTTGACCCCGACGAAGGTACCCAGGCGGACTATATTTCTTTATATCTTCCTCTTTCTCTAGTTTTCAAAATCTTTTTCATAAATTCTCTTTGAAAACTAAACCTCAAGTTGAACTACTCGATCTCAACAATCATCGCCATGGAATTCGGTCTTCCTCCTACAACTTTTCGCACGGGTGCTACAGCGCTCATCACAGGAGCCGCTTCGGGTATTGGACTTGCCATCGCGCAACGATGCTATTCACACGGAATGAACCTGATACTTCTCGACAATAACGCCGCAGCCCTTTCACAAGCAACAGCGAAGTTCCCTTCCGACGGACGCAATACCACCACCTTAAGTCATATCCTCGATGTCTCATCATTCGAAGCATGGAAACAGTTGGTTCCCAAAATCGAGTCCCTATTCCCAGAGGGTATTGATTTCCTGGTACTCAATGCCGGCGCTGGTATAGCTCCAGCTGGAGACAAGGGGATGTGGGAGGATCCGACATACTTCGACAGGACTTTTGCAATCAACACAATGGGCTACACGAATGGCATCGTTGCTGTTCTCAAAATGGTTACCAAGAACAAAGATGCTGCCCGGGCTATTGTGATGACTGGCTCCAAGCAAGGAATCACGAACCCGCCTAGTAACCCTGCCTATAATGCCTCCAAAGCCGCTGTACGATCCATTGCAGAGCATTTGTCTTTCGATCTAGACAAAGTGGCTCCGAATGTCAGTGTCCATCTGTTGATTCCGGGATGGACTTATACTGGTTTCCACACTGGGAGCTTCAAGGAGAAGCCTGCGGGTGCGTGGACATCTGAGCAGGTGGTTGATTTCATGGTGGAGAAAATGGCAGAGAAGAAATTTTACATTTTGTGTCCGGATAATGAAGTTTCCGAGGAGATAGATCGGAAGAGAATGCTGTGGGCCACTAGCGATATCCTGGAGGGCCGGCCTCCGTTGTCTCGTTGGAGGGAGGAGTGGAAGGAACAAGCCAAGCGTGAGATTGAAGGTTAGACCATACTACTCTTCACTTCTACAACCACAAGACAATCAGTATATGTGATAAAAATTCACCATTCTAACTCTTTCCTCTTCGCCAATTTCACTTCCTTCTTCTCAATCTTCTTCTCATCTTTCGAAACACCTGTCCCGTCTTCAACCCCCCAGTCCCCCCATCTCTCTCTCCAAATCCCAATCTCTTGCTTCCACAAATCCCTTACACAAGGATCACACGAGCTCCCACAGCAATCACCCAGTCCTGGTGGGGGTGGTGGGTCATTGTATGCCCGCTCTCCTGCACGGAGGAGCTGTTTTGTGCGGGTTTTGGTTAAACGGGTCTTGTAGAGAATTTTGTAAAGGGGTGTTTCTTCCGGGGTGTAATATGGCTCTGGAGTTGCTTGTGCACTTGAGTCTGAGGTTGGGGTTTCGATTGATATTTTAGTTGGACTTTTGGTGGTCTCTTTTTCTTTCCCTTTGTCGTTTGAAGATATTGCAGCTGTTGACTCTGAAGACGTGCTCGAGAAAGAGAATGGAGAGAGGAGACTTGAGAGTAGGTTTGCTGGGGAGTATATGGAAGATTTGGATATGTCTTTCCCTTTCTCTTTCTCTTCTTCTGCTGTTGGTGTCTCTGCTGGTGTAGTGATATCCTTGGCCTTGGGGGTATTTTCAGATGCAGTAGCAGAAGTTGATGCCAATGAAGCAGTCTTGCTCTCTGGAGTCTCGATGCTCATTTTGATAGACCAGATATCGAAATCAAATACACGCCAATTGAGTCATATAGAGACTAATTTAGTTTCGGATTGAACCTGTTGCCACGTTAGTGATGTTTTAGAAATTTATATAGAGTAGACTCACAAGTTCTAGGCTGAACCTAAGCTTCTAAAGATCCAATTTTGCAAAGATGTATAATATTTATAGGCATGTCGTTGCAATAAAGAATAAGAAGAACAAGGCCGAAGAAGTGCCGGGACCGGGTAAGAACTGTTTTCGTGCGGTTCCTGTTCGTCCCGATGTCCACCCACTCTATACAACATAGTAGGACTCGGTCTATTTTGCTTGAACTACTATTCTTATAATAATGCCCATACTTGCCAAATCTTGGCTAAAAAAGTGACAGTGCCTCCACTGCCGGTATCTATGATTGTTTCCGAGGATAAATGATATGCAAAAAAAATAAACGCCGTTGGAGTCGATCAACTCCGTGGTATCGTGCAGTTAGAAAATTAAAAAAAGTACAGTCATAAACCACCATCACTTTCGCTTCGGTGTAGGCGTCCAAACATTCCCCAGTCCAGACCTCCTCTCTCCAGACCTCGGCGTTCCCCCAACCTGCTGCAACAGCTTTTGCGCTGCAGGCGTGAGCATCTTTCCCCGTGAATACCCTCCACCAGAGACAGAGCCTACACTAGAGCCGGCTCCAGGCGTAGAACGAAGCCCGAAGTCCACCCGAGGGCTACTAGCAAAGCGCGGCGTCAACGAGACAGGCGTCTTCGTAACACGGGCGGCCTTTTCAGCCCGTTTGTTCCGCGCCACACGATCGACCATGCGGTGATGTAGGGCTTCACGCTTGCGAGTCTCCCCAAGTTGGAAAGGATTGGGCTTTTCAGAGGTCGGACCGAGGAGGCGCCAGTCGACTTCCGTGTCGTCGGTTCTGGAGCTGGAGCCATAGGTGAATTCAGGCTCGGGCTCGTCTTCGTCGACAAAGGCGTATCCGTTAACCCTCGGGGTTTCGCTTCCTGCAAAGGCAGATGCGGCTTCAGACTCGCTGAGACGTGGTCGGCCGGCGATGGCGTCTTGGATAGCGGATAGTGAGGGTGAAGGGGGCACGGCGCTGGCGGCGTCTGCTGCTGCCGCGGCATGTGGGTCCAGGAGTCTGGTATTTTGGTAGAGAGTTCGCTTGGGCCCTGCTCGGGATGTAATTTCTGCTTTTTGTGGGAGTGTCTCGTGGGTATCCTCCACCGAGGAAGGGAGGAACATGAGGGTGTTGTCTGGGCGGCTTTTCCATGTGTCTGGATTTGCGGGGCGGGCATCCAGATCTGTTTTTATGGCGGGTTGGGCGTGTTCATCGCGTTTAATAAGGCCCATTTGTGGGTTTCCGCCTTGAGCTGTGATGCGCTTGATTTCTTGTTGATGGTGTGCGATTTGTCGGGCCGAGGGGATTTTGTTCCCGCTCCAAAGCCAGCGATATTTCTCCCGTCGCTTCTCATTCTGCTTGTCGAGGACTTTATTGAAGGACTCGTTGTCTTCGCTGGTATACTTTGCTTGGAAGGCGATCAGTCCCATATTTGATACGTCGGGGATATTCCGGTCTGGTGTTTCAGTTGCTGATGTGGAAGTCGATACGACAGACATGGGGGTATCACCTCCCCAGCCATGCGGAGTGTCCCCGGGCTGTCCGGCCGGGAAATGCTGTGGTGTGCTCGGAACCGACGCATAGTCTGACTTTCGCCTTGCATTCGACCCTGGGGTGGGCGTGCGCATGACGCCTGCTAACTTCTTCTTGGAGCTTGCAATCCATGCTTTGTCCTTCGATTCAAGAGCTTCCAGATACTCTTGTTTGATCTGTGTCTCGAGCAAGCCCGGAAAGAAGTCACGGGCGATAATGTGGGACAAAGTGTTGGTGTAGATGTCTTCATCAAGGACGGTCGCGGGGCGTTTGATTCGCTTTGGGGGCGGAGGAGGAGGCATAAGCTGGCCAGCAGATTGCTTGACCAGCTCCCGCGAGGAAGGAGACGCCATGTTTGTAGAGCAGAGGCTTGAAGAGAGAATAAGGAAATTTGAAATGAGAGGTCCACGGATGAGTTGGTGGCGATAAGATAGCGGGTCATATGATTTTGATCTAACCGCTTTAGGCAAGCATACGCCACTATATTGTATTGTATCATAAGCTATGTAGTATACCTAGGTATGCATATAGCTCTAGACGCGATATTTCCAAGTACAAATGTGTAGCCTTGATTGTCGAAATCTTGGTATTGACTCAATCGTGAACCCGTATAGTCAGGGTCTGTTATTGTTTGCTCGGTCCTCATGATGAGATGGAGGGCATGTAGGTGAACAGCCCTGAACCTTGGAAGGGTTGTTGGAACAGTAATCTCTCGAGGCTGAAAGGTTTCAACCTCGGAAATCCGCTGACTAAACTTCGACAAGTTAGAATCCCCAGGGCTCAGACCTTGGGAGCCATCAGGGTATTTGTACATTTCCAGGGCGCTCAAGTGGCGTTGATCTTTAATAGGAGATAAAGATGACTTGGAAAGCCATGAAGCGCCTAATATCCGATGAATATGTTTATTGTTACAATAACTACGTGATAGAGGATAGAGTGTGTATATCCAAACCTGTCTTTCTTTTCCAGACGTCGGAGCCCTCTTTCTCTCTCCACGTCAGAAAGACTAAAATAGAGAATATGTATGATACAAGAAATCATTTTATAGATGCATATGCATAGGTGTATTCTATGGATATACTCCTACCATTCATGTTCTCCGTAGATAGATATGGATTTAATAGAGTTCAAACGTAACCTTCATATCGTGTTAAGCCCCTTCGGGACTTCAACCTCATCATCTTTACTCATGACCTGATTTATCAATTCCTTTGCAACTTTGGAAGTCTCTTCTTCCCATTTATATCTTCCAAACTGCTCATATCTCTTCATTCATATATTTTACAATCATTTCCCACTCAAGGATCTATACATGATGTTGCTTTCGATGAAAGAAAATCCCCTAGGTATCGACCAAGTTCTCAAGACCACTCCTACTATACCTCCCTGGACCAGAGATATATACCAGTATCTTGAACCTAAATCTGTTACCTATCCTATCCCGAAAGTTCTAGAACCGGATTTACTAGACATCCTCCCTGTTGAGCTATTGCTATCAATAGCAGATGTTCTCCCTCTTGAAGATATTTACTGCTTCTCGCTTTGCAACCGTCGACTTCTCACAATATTCGGGAGTCGGACGAAGCACCGATCCCTGGAACGAAAGGCCCGGTTGTCTTTCTTACATCGACTCGAATATGATCACCCACGATACTTAACTTGCGATGACTGCTTGATCCTTCATGACTTGAACCGTATATCAGAGCCCTTTGGGCTATCATACCCGACACATATCTACCCGCCTCCCCTAGACTGCCTTGCGCCTGCCTCTGAATATAAGCCACGCGAATGTTTGTGGATGATTATCCATAACCAGTCTAGTATCTGGTCTCATTACAGGCTTCGGTTTTCTCATCTTCACCTTGCTATGAGACGATTCTACCGCGGTCCTCAATATGGGATTAGCACAGATGCGCTGTCCTTCACCGAAGTAGCAAATGACTTTCTCTGGGGAGACAGAGTCTTCAGACCGACTACTTTGTTTTCGGTTGAGGCACAGATATGCCCTAATCCACCGAGCTTGTACCTACGAATTCAGGATATCATGTCAATGGGAAATGTACGCCAACTAATCGACGACGGATACTATTGTGAAGCGGAACAAAATTACTTCGCAAATTTGCGAATTTGCAAACACGAATCAAAGTCATTTTGGATGCAGGATATTCCTCTCGATAAATATCCAGCCCACGAGTATTTCAACTGCGACCATTGCAATACCGACTGTGAGATTGAATTGTTCGAAAACAGACCAAATGGTCATATCACTATAGTGATGACAAGATACATCAACCTGGGGGCTGGTCTCAGCCCATACGATCCCCGATGGAGAGTTAACCTATGGAGTCACTGGGAAGAGCCTGAAGTTTGGAAACTAAACCTGGAATACGTGGACTCGAGTCCTCGACATACATTTGAAGCCCTTACCGATACCTCGCTCGAAGATTTGACTTCTCGCAATCTATCCTACCTCGAAGACGAGCGATATCAAACTACTATGGTACGAATTCCTGGGGATGTCCCTCCTTCCTGGGCTCTGTGGAATGGGGCAGCTATGAATTTGTGAGTTTTTGGTGATATATGGCCTTGGTTTTGGCGATCAGATGGATGAAACAGAAGACATGTGCCAGTCGTGGCTTGGATGTGTTGTACTAAATGATTTCAATCACATTTTTATCTTTCCATTTTTATCTTTCCAACAAACAACCTTCTGCATGACTTTCTACATGACTAGCCTTAATATCTTTCCTAAAGTACATTCTTACGGTGTCTTCATTTATATCGTCCCTTTGACTGAGCGGAGATAATATACACAGATTTGCAAGTTTTCAAGTCTCGTCCCAAGGACGTTGCAACGGCGACCGACCTTCAAAGACAGCGCACTGATCTTATAACAAAAAGGCGTATAACAATACAAAGTATGATGAACTATACATGTTCTTCCTCACTCTACACATATATTTGCAAAGTCATGCCAACGAATGGTATTGGAGCAATGAGCTCCTCTATAAGAATCAAAGTCTATAACAAGGCAAAAGAAAAGAGGCTAGCGAATGACCCAAAAACGAATTCCAAAATTCTTCCAAAAAGATCCTTTTCCTTTTCCTCTTTTTCTCTTTTCCCAAATCGCCCTTCCAAGACACCAGGCCGGTAAAAATTCGCTATCGCTGAGAAATGCATCGAGGTGAAAGATTGCCCACAGCTGAAACACGCATCACAGAACACAAAAAGAAAAACATATGGCTCACAGGCAAAGACAAGACAAGTTAAACATAAAAACAGAGACACTAGGAAAACACAGATCGTGGACTCGTTGAGAGAGGGTTGAGGGAGGGGTCTATCGGATGACAAAGCGAGAGATGTGAGATAGATATGCAAGGGGTGAAAAAAAAAAGGAAAATATCAACACAAAATAGGGGGTTGATGATAACGATAGTGACACTCAATGAGCGGTTGTTGGGAAGAGAGAGTAAGATGGCGAGCGAGCCTTCCTCCGGTTGGGGTTTCTGGGAGGAACAGGAGGTAAAGGAGCCTCGAATTTGATCGGGTGAGAATCACCCTCTGAAATGGACTTGGCACGGTCATGGAGCGACACGGTGAGATCCGCGGCCTCAAGACTCGTGCTGCTGCCATTCTGGAGGAAGTGTGTCTCGGCCAGACTCTTGGTCTGGCGGTGGTGGGAGGATGATGTGGGGCGGGTGAGTGTCTCACCAGCTGTCATGCGGTCCGTTGGCATGAGCTCGCGGCTGCTGGACAAGCTGTGGATGAGCTCTGGGACGCTGTTCGTCGTCGAGACGGAGGAGCGGTGCTTGCGCACGATGGAGGCTGCGCGAGAGAGCATCAGGCTCTCTTGCGAATTGCACTTGCTTATCGGGGAGAAGCTGCTGCGTGGGGAGATGGGGCCCATCATGCCCTGCGAGAAGGGGAAGTGGCGGTCTGATTCGCCATCAGTCGTCATGTACTCCTCGTACAAGGGTTCGTGGGAGATTTGTTTCCCCATTGATGGGAGGATCGAGGAACTGACGGGATGGAAGTAGTCTGCGTCCCGCACGATGAACTCCTCCTCATAGTCTGCGGTTGCGGGGGTGGGGGCTGAGTGGGAGGGCATCGACTGGGCTGGGCTGGGGTCCAGGTCGGGGGTTGGTAGGGCGGAGGTGCTCAGTGGGCTCGGCTGGAGCTGTCGGGTTCTCGGGGCGAGCCATGGGCCCTCGCTGCTGGCTACACCGACTGGAGGACGTCCTTCGTCCAGGGATGTGCGAGTCCAGTCGAAGTTGGAGGTGGACTCGGCAGCGTGCTCATAGCAGTAGTCGATGTCTGCGTCCCACGAGTCATACAATTCATCCTCGTATGAAAATCGGTGCAGACTGGCGATCGGCTCGGGTGGTGTGACCTCCACCTGGGCGCGAGGGGTTTCCGTGTCCTGAAGATCTTGAGGCAGAGTCGGCGAGCCCAACGCCTCCGAGAACTTCCGGGAGAGCTCCTCGGCCACATCGATCGACATTGGAGCGTGACGCTCGCTGGTGTTGAGCGACTGAGTATTGGCTGGAGGTGGGCTGATTTGGGAAGTTGAGCGAGAATGGGGGCCTCCCATGCTGGATTCAGAGCTGTGCCAATACCGGGTTCCTTCCTCTTCCTCGGGAACATCTTCCAAATCATAGTGACTGCTAATGGACGAGGTCCTGGTGCTGTCACCTTCGGGGCTGAAAAACCGGGTTGGCTGCGCTGATTGGACACACTCCGGGTATGTAATCGCAGTGGACAAGCCCAGAATCTCGTCAATGGCACGGGGTGCTGGCTCAGCAGTCTCAGGTGGGGGGGTCTCCGGCACAGCAGGAGGTGGGGGAGTGGTGGGGCAGGACCGGGGATATCTGGAAACTGGCCGCGAGAAGTTCTCGTTGACGCGAGATTCTCTGCGTGCGTGGTGCCGGTGTGTTTTTGGAGAAGTTGGCGGGCTTACACTGGGCACATCCACCGTGGTGGCAGTTCCAAGCGAGCGCAGGTCATCGCTGGAGAAATTCCGGAAATGAATATCCTCGGCGCGGATACCTTTCAGATCGGTCTGGGGCCGTTGGGATGCTCGGATGGCCGAGAACTCGGTGACGAGATCGTTCTCGCGAGTTTGATCCAAAGCCTGGAACTGCGAGGGGTTGGTATGAGTCAAGTGGTGGAAGTCGAAAGGATCGGAAATAATGCTTTTCATACGCTCGCCTATATCGATTGTCGAGGGTCAATTGAGTCCAGAGTTTCAGCTGTCAGCTGAGTGGCTGGCACACTTACTGTGATCGGTATGGCGGGCGCGACGACCAAACATCTCCCTTTCAGGCCGGGCCTTCTCACGATCGGCCTCGTCTTCCTCGTCCAGCGTGGCGACGATGTTGATCTTGCTACCCTGTCGACGCAGGATGCGGCTTCCCCGCGCCAAAAGGGACCGGGCGGACTTGTCCTGCTTATCGGAGCGCAGCCCCAATGACGAGCCGGTTCGGTCGTCAGAAGCAATTGAACTATCTGTGGAGGTCATGGAAGAACCCGGTGAGCGGCGTGAAGAAGTCGAGGTGGTAGTATTGCTTCTTGAACGACCGCTAAAGACAGAGAGACGCTTAGGGCTTTGGGAGTGGGCAATGGACTTGGAGCGGATATGTGCGGCGTGTTCAGGTTGCTCGTTGGACGAGTTCGTGGACGGACGGTCACTGCCGTCGTCGTTGTCCCAGGCTTTAGCCATTGGGGGTGGAAAGGTCGACATGGTGGGAAGTGAAAGAGAGAAACTACACCATGATAAGAACGGAATCTGGAGATCTCCGCCGTCTACAACATAAAGGAGCGAAAGTGGAAAGGAACGGTTCTCGAGTGGAACAAGAAGAGGTCGTGCCGATGATAATAAATTAATAGAATACTCGATGACGGGGGTAATACAAGACACGGAGTGGTAGTGGAGCCGCGTTCAGGGGTATTTATGGTATTGACTTTTGTTTTTTCTTTTCTTTCTTTTCTTTTCCATTATTAGTATATGATGTTATACTCCGTAGTTATACTACTCTCCTATATTTGGTCTATTTGTGATATTTCTGTTATGTGTTCTATTTATTCCTATTACTCCCTTTGTTTGAATTAGAGCTGTTCCACTATGCACTCAGCCGAATTGATATTTTCTATTGATCATATTCCGTACACAAACAATCCAAAAAATGAGAGACAAAAAATATAGCAAATACAATATACACGGGATAGTAACATTGAACCAAGGTACCTCTCCATGTAAAAAGGACGGGAATTCCCAGCGTCACGGAGCCGATACCTAACTGCCTTAGTGGCATAGGCATCGAGCCAGGGGGTTGGTCCTGATCGTGCTGGAGACCCGCGTGTGGGGTAGAAGAGGAAAGAAGCTATTCCCTGTTGAGCAAGTATCAGCCTTCCGATACGCCCCGTTTTGACATTTTAGTTTTATTTTTATTTGGTTCCTTTACCAAAGGTCCCATGGTTCTAAGGTTTACCGTTAGCTTTGACCCGTGGACACGGGAGAGAGGGGGACACACGATACACGCGATCTGGCTTATAGATTGGTACTACAGTACTCTCCATACATACATATTATCCTAGTAGCAGCCAATGTCATTGGGCAAGATATTCAATTGAAATACCCAATGGCAATGTTAAAACAGCTCCATATTTTACACTAAATTCCTTACATCCCAAGGTAGCAAAGTTAGGAGCCCAGACTCAAGTGGAGAGGGGAGAGAGACAAGCCCTTATCACGATAAGTTGGGGCGCACACAAGAACCGTGGGTGTGTGTTCCCTCATTTTCGAATGCTCCCTTACAACATCCATGAATGGTCTTAAATTGTGGTACATTCTATGTTTCTGATTTATTTGATTCTCTAATATCCCGAGGTCCCTTTCAAGGTTTCTAACTATTTCTTACCTTGCGTGAAGTCTGAGATGAGAAACGCCTCTTCCCTTCCCCGCGTATAGCGGAGCCTCGGTTCAACGGTTTTCATCACAGCATCCGGCCCTAAAACTGATTGAAAACATAGGGCTTAGAAAACAGTCTCAGATCCAAATCTACTTTTCGGGATCCGGCAGTGGGGTTCAGAAGTCCATAATAACATTGTATTACAGAGGGAATTAAAAATGGTATTATAGCTATTATAGCCTAGGTATACATGTGCTACGGCAATTCTCCAGTTTCTCTAGTTCAAACTAAACATCCCTGTAAAAAACCAAGGTGGAAAGGCAAGGATCTCCATGCGAGTTTGTTCCTGTGATCCTACCTAGCTGTAGGGGCTGTTCACTTAGTACCTCCTCCGTACAAGCCTCGGGGAGTGCCGATCTCCTATCTCATGCAAATTAAGAACCCTTTGTTTTATATTTAAATATTTATATTTTTTTTAAAAAAAGGGGAAAAAAGCACAATGTATCAGACTACATACATACAAACTTCACACTGCGTCGGGGATGTAAGATGAAGCTGAAGAATGTGAGTACCCGGAAGTCACCGCTCCCTTACGTTTTACCAGTCGGGGAGTTGCATTGTCTCAGGGCGGGGTATATTGTGCCTGGTATGTGCATATTATCACCTTGGTCGTACGGCATAGAATTGATTTGTTAGTACTTCGTATACATCCTGATATGGACATACTTCCTTTTTACCGTTGGGGTGACTCGTCACATACATATTCTAATATTCACTTGGGTCTATACAACATATGTTGTAGTCAACAGCCAGCTTCCTATCTGGTGTGAAAGTGGACCTTGACCTGCAGCTAGCACGATTCGAAACAAGGGAGAAACCCGGGAAAAGGAAGAGGTGTCTCGTTCTATTTCAGAGTCGAATATACCGCTAGTTGGGTAGTGTGTATTGAAGTTGTAAAGTGGATTCTTGATGATCTCGCAGTCTAGAACATTATCTCTGTAATGAGAACTCTGTTCCTAAGTTATACATATTGTACCTGCGTTGTGCGGCAATTGATATTCTTAATTATTTACTTACTTGGTACTGTTGTCCCCTTTTAGCAGGTCCGACTAACAAGCACGTTCCCCATCTCCACCGGCCGTTCGCATTTTCGCGTCTATGATCGTCATCGAGCACCGGACGGAGTACGGAGTACGTGTTTATCTCATAGGCCCAAGCGTCCCCGGCGTTCTTCCTCAGCTCAGATCTGTGTCAGGAATATGCCCCGAAATTGGAGTGTCGCCAACTGTCAGATCTCTTCTTTGCTTTTTTTGTGTGGCATTTTTGGAACAAAGATGGAAGATCAAATAGAGTAGGAGACTCTCAGAGTATAATGTAAATTCGGTTTAAAGATGGATCAAGCCCTCAAAAATTAGAAATGGGGCTAAATACTATAATATAAGTAAGATGTACTCCATATTCCGTGCTCCGTAGGTATAATGAAGATACAACATAGGGAATAGAATAGCGCAACACAAGGTTTGAAGCGACACGTTCTAGAATGAAACGAATACCCATCTTCTTTCACATGGTTCACCTATCACGAAGACGTTCCTGTTCATACTTCCCGAGGATCGACAGATCTAATTCCCCTGAAACAATATGGAAGCTGGTCCCCGAGGTCGGTAGTTATGTACGGACTATTCCATACTCCATACCTTTAAAGTCAGTTGCAATGTGTTCTTCCGTCATTTTCCCGAGGTTCGACAGTGACCGTAAATTCCACAGTTGTATGTTATTGTTTAGTATCGCGTAACGCGCTATCATAACCTGAGCACAATCCAACGATCGCCTATCTGGGTAAAATACATCTGCGCCCGTTAAAACTATGTTTGTATCATGTGGAGAATAGATTAATCTAATATTGTAACTATAGGGGCGATTGACACCTGCTAGCTTATTGAGGCTGAATCCTTCAAATCATATTCCATTCCATTGGAGATAGGCGCGCTGATTGTCGATATTGAATGCTACTCCGTACTATGTGCGACGACCCCGGTGCCCGGTCCTGATGTAACCTGGCATTGACCATTGAACTAGGTACTACATGAAAGGGCATGGTAGGGATTATAGCTATGTTGATGGTACTCTGGACAGGGGGCTCCTTTCACGTTGCAAGGCATATTTGTGATACATGGGATTGGGCTCTCCGGAACGACCAAATAGTAGGCAAACAAATGGGAGACTATTGGAAATAATCGACTACCTTTCTTGCTTTGTGTACTCTGCACTTCATACATCATATTCAAAGGAATTGGCAATGTGGGAATATTGAAATATTGAAGCCTAGAATTTTGATTTCCAGGCACTAAAGCTCATTAAGATTAAAAGTAGTATCAAGCCAACATCCTTAACGCCGGTTCTTTGTCTTTCAAGTCCCAAAACTTAACGAAGTCCACCCAATTCTAAGTTGCATATTAGCTTTGCTCTTCCGGAGACAATGAAATGCCCACAACTAGATCATGAGATCTAGATAGTCCATTTTAGGGTGGGTTATCTGCCTTCTTACCGTAAGCACGCCGTGGTTACTTCACTTGGCAACTCCAACGGTCTCGTCGCCGCCGACATTGACAGCGGCACCAATCTTGCCAATAACATCAGAGCCAGAGTCATCACCGCCGCCACCGTCGCGCTTGAGATTGAGAACACCGACAGTCTTATCACCGCCAACGTTGGCAGCGACACCAAGATCACCGATGACATCCTCAGTATCACGCTTGAAACCAAGAACACCGACGGTCTTATCACCGCCGACGTTAGCAGCGACACCAAGATCACCGATGACATCCTCGGTATCACGCTTAAAACCGAGAACACCGACAGTCTTATCGCCGCCCACGTTGGCAGCGATTCCAAGATTGCCGATTACATCGTTCTGGCTGGGGACGGGAACAGCGAGTACCGTTACCGCCAAGAGCACGGGAGCGAAGATATTGTAGTGCATTTTGATATAAGTTCGAACTAGAGTGGTTGTTAGAGCACTACTTGAGCTGGGCTCTGGTAGGTCTGTGCTCACCGAGACAGGAGCAAGTGAATTTGATCCGGATTGTTTTATCACTGGACTTAGAGTAGACAGAAGACAAGGAAGAAGACTGGCTAACAATATCTCTGGGGAGACGACCAGATCATTTAAGTACCTATTGTACTATCGTACCTGACCTCTGGATAGATGTTTGCGGCATGATAACTGACGTGCTCTGGAAACTTAAGCTTAAGCACTAGCTTGGATTGTGGTCTACTTAGCTGGGCACTGTGGACATAGATCTTGATCTATGACATATGCGTAGTTGTGATGGAGTGGATGCCCAATGAGGGCTAGGGATTGGTAGTGGAAAGACTGGAGACGGCAAACCTAGGAAGGTCCTGGTAACTGGCCTTGTGTTCAACATAGAGATATAGTGTGATGGTAGACAATAGTAATGGAGAGAAATGATCCGTCGATTGTAGTTTGTTGACGATCCTTAACTTGTTTGGGCGGTGACACCCAAAACGGCTCCCGTTGATATCATCGGTGACCTCAATGCTACGCTGCACCTGGATTTCTTTATATTATAGATTTTGCCCCTTTGTTTTCGTTTTTCTTGAAACGACTGTTTAAAAAAGAATTGGAAACTGAGTCACAAGATACATTCGAATATCCTAGTATCCTAATATTGTAACATCCTTCTATACGAACCCGAGGCTAAACAGCCTTAATTGCCTGAAACCTTCAAGCTTAACGGAAATAGAGTTAACTCCCGAGCCCGAAGATCGAGTTGCTATCTTCCTAGAACCCGCCAAGGGACGCAAAATTTAGTTCCTTTTTTTTTTGGTCTTAAACCTTTGTAGCCAGTTTCCGGATATAAAAAAAACCGTTTCGCTTTTCCTGGGTCCCACCGGTTGGGGCGTTAAGGTGGTATCCATTTTCCATGTCGATATCGTGGCTTTGTATGGTGCGTTATGGTCTCCTCTACGGAGTAAGTCTTACTTGTCTAGGATCCTGAACTCTGATCAGGGTACAACAACTTCCGTGTGCAGCCGAAGATTATACAACCAAAATGTTTAATTATTTCAAGAGATCTGAGATACGGACTCCGTATTCTGTACTCCGTGCTTTTCTACTCCATACCCTGCCGATCAGATATTTAAAGGTAGCACGGGGTACGGAGGACTTCCGTATACAGAGTCCAATCTCAACCCAGCCACAGCCACACAGACCAAAAAAGAACACCCAAAACATGCCCTAATAAACAACATAGCCCCCAAATTCAACACTGACACAGCATGAGACACAGCCCCTCCAACCACCCTAAAGCTGCATACACCTACCTACTACCGTATGCAGTTACGTGGAGCACGTTCAATTCACTCGCCAAGCTAGAAACAGATGGAGTAGCTCGGTGCTCCGTAGGGCAACAGGGATCAGTCCCACCAGTGACCACACGTGCAATTCCAACATTTCGCCGCCTGCGCAAGCCATGTCTGACATCCCTGTGTGGGTTTTCCAATGAACGGATTATCTCCAGCGGAATTCCGTGGAGGGGAGATTAATAGATTAGGCCCCAGCAAATTCGTCCGATGGATTATGGACTTGTATGTTCTATAGATTAATTTCAATGCAGGTGTGCTGCGCTTGGGCCGGGCGTGCTTCCTTTTTAATTTATTTCTTCCCCTCGACCGTCCTTTTGGAGTTAGCTGAGTAGGTAGTGAAATGGGGATTTCCTTTCTGACTGGGGACTTTTTAGATCTGTAAAGGCCGGTATTTGGCCGTCCCTCGTGGCGTTTCTCATATCAGCTTTACCTGGGTGGATACGGAGTGCTTGGGTATGGTATTTTGTTTTTATTTCAATGGTTTTGAACAATGCACAGGGTTGTTTTTTGGGGGGGTGGATTTGGATTTTGTGGGATAACGATCAAGGCTAATAATTACACATGGCTGGAAGTCCAACGGAGAGAAATGTATCGATTGCAGTTTCAGATGGCCCCTTACCAGACGCCTGGATGGATAAATGGAAAATAGAACTTCGAGATAGAAATAGTAACAAAAAAAAGGAGTAATATGGCATGATTCACTCCTGCATCTCCGCGTCCTCGATGGGCTTAGAAGGCTCCTCGCCGAACAGTTCGTCGTCGTTGTCTTCGTTGCCAGACTTTTCGGCTTGCACTTCGGCTTCCACTTCTTCTTCCTCGTCCTCGTCATCATCTGCAATGCGACGGGAGGCATTGCCACGACGACGCGGCGCAGCTTCTTCGGCCGGCTCGTCGTCATCACCAAACAGATCATCCTTGTCTTCACCGGCAGACCCAGCCGCCTCTTCATCATCAGAGTCAACAACCATCTCACTGCTCTTGTACTTGCCAGGCTTCTCAGACTTGGCAGCCTGAGCCTTCCCGCCCGATCGGCGTTCCAAGCGACGCCGCTTCTTGGGTGCTGTCTCGCCCTCGCTTTCGGGTGCGCTGTGTGCAGCAAGGCCTTCATCTTCATCTGCGATGAAATCATCTCCGCCCTTCTTCTTGCGCTTGCTCGTAGGCTTCTTCTTGCGCTTGACCCGGTCACCGGTCTCGGAGTCGTTGGTCAATTCGGCATCCTCGCGAGCGCGCTCGTCTTCAGCGCGCTGCATGGCATGTCGTTGCACCTCTTCGACCATCTGCGCGCGTTCCTCGGCGATGCGCTTCTTGCGTTCCATCTCGACCTCTTGGGCCTTGCGCAGCTCTTCTTCCCGGATCCGCGCGGCTTCTTCGCGGGCTTCACGGGCTTGCTGGAGCTTCGCGGCGTTCTTCTCTTCGTACTCCTTCTGGCTCTGCATGGCTCGGTCAAGCTGCTTGCTGATCGTGCGACCCATGTTGGCTCGCTGCTCCAATGCGGCGCTGGGGTAGGGAGGGTTCTTCTCCTTGGAAAGACGCTCGAAGGTTTCAATGGCTTCCTTGAGACCCTCTGCTGCCTCTTGGACATCCTGGAGCGTCTTCTGGGTAGGCTGCAGACCGTATGCGAGTGAGGCGATTTGGTTCTGCACGAAAGCAACATTGAACTGTAGGTGAAGTTGGTCCGGAGAGACATCGCGTGCGCGCGTAGCGTAGTCTAGTGCTGTCTTCATTGCGGCCAAGTTCGCCTCCTGCTTGCCTCGCAGCCACCATACGCGACCAAGACAAGCCAAGATTTGCACATCGCGCTGGCGATCCTTCGACAATGCAGCCTCGTAGTGTTCGATTGACCGTGAGAACTGACGGAGCTCAGCAAAGACATGTCCTAAGTTGAGGTAGACACTTGGGTCCTTTAGCGTATCGCGAATCTTGGACAAGATTTGCACAGCAGAGCTGTGGTCTTTCTTGTCGTCAATTAGGGCGATCGCGATACCCTGGGCCGCATATGCGTTCTTGGGGTCCAATTGGAGAGCCTTGTCGAAGAACTCCACAGCACGCTGGTAGATTTTGCGACGCTTCTCCTTCTCCTGGTCTGTGTCGCGGCGCATGTCACGGGCGGCAAGGAGATGCACATTGCCCATTCCGGTCAAAGCATAGCGATCGTGCTTGTCATAGTACTGCAACGTGTGCTTGAAATGACGTTGCTCGCTATCTTCAGCAAGGTTGGCAACTCGTTTCTTCGCCTTGCTGAGGTACCATCCGTAGAGCGACCGAACTTCCAGATTTGTGCTGTCCGCTTCGTAAAGCTTGCCAATCTTCTTAGGGCCCTCGTCTGTAGGGCTCTGGCGCAGGGCAATATATGTCAGGCGTGCATTAGCTTCCGTGTAATCAGCGTGTCGCTCCAGAAGACCTTCGTAGACCTTCTTAGCTTCTTCCCACATGTCGGCGGCCTCGTAAGTCCGCCCAAGGTTGTAGCTGATTGTGGTGACCAGCGCATCAGTATCGGTGCCATCCTCTTTTTCTTTGGATTGCACACAGGCGTTGAGTGCAGACTGGAACAAGCCACGAGCCAGAGCGATCTTCTCGTTCTGGTATAGGAAGCAGCCCATGTTGTTGAGGAGCTGTGGTGGGAGACTCTCCCTAAGAGCAGCGTTCAGCTTATCCTGGTCCTCGATATCAGGTCGAGCATCCTCCGGAATCTCAGCAATTTGGATCTGTTCTAATTGGGTCAGGCACTGCATGCTCTTATCAGGAGCGGTGCCCTCGTAGAGACGGGAAAGATAAACAAGAACAGACTCGTCGGGAGAGATATTCAGCTTCTCATCCTTCCACATAGAGCGCACCGACTCAAGCAGAGTAATGGCTCGCTTTGCCTCGGTCGACTTGTCTTCCTTGCTGCCTGACTTCTGAGCAGCGAAGACCTCTTCCGCATGAATAGCAGCAAGGAGGGTCATCGCTTCCGGATTCTTTGATTGCTGAACAATCTTCTCTAGTCGGAACTTGGCACCGTCAAAGTCCTTGTTCGTGATCTGCATTTGCACAGCGCCGAATTTGGCGGGAAGATAGCCCTTGTCGACACCACCGCGGGCTTGATCCGAACGGTTGTAGAACTCCGTAGCACGGGCATCATCGCCTTCATAGTGCGACTTGCGACCAAGAAGGTACCAGCCGTCACTGGCAATAGACATAACATCTGTGTGCTCAATGGCTTTGCGTGCCAATGTCTCGACGGTGGGATATGATTTGCGGAGGAGGAAGTAGCTGGCGAACATGGAGCAGGTCATTGGGTATTCCTTGTCCAGTTTGAATGCCTTTTGGGTGTATTGAGTCATGGCTAATTTGTACATTGACCCGAACATAGGGTCGGTGGTGGCTCGGCGAGAGCTGTCGTGAAGGTAGTAGACTGCGAGCAGGACGTTGGCGACCTTGGACTCGGGATTCTGCACAACGATGGAGGTTAGTTATATTTTTATATAAAAAAATGAAGCCTTGTGAGGGTTTCTTGTTAAACATACCAGAGACAGCGATCTTTCCCAAGCTACCTTCGCTTGATCCTTGAAGCCCAGTTGCCACAAGCAGCATCCGAGACCAATACGAGGGTCAGGGTCTGTAAGGTTGGGCATCTTGATCAAAGCCTTCTGGTATCCTTCGAGTGCATCTGCGTATCTTCCTAGCATGTAATGCGCGCGGGCACGTCCCAGAATAGCCATGATGTTCCGGCCACCGAAAGCCTTGGATGACTCGTCGAAACATTTCAGAGCCTGCCGCAGCGACTCGACTCTTTCCGAGGTATCAATTGCACCCGGACGAACAGCACGGGGCGGGTATAGCGATGCACGGAGGAGACACAAGACACCACGCGCCAGGAAGAGAGGAGGATAGGCCGGGTTGAGTCGCGAAGCCTCGTTCAACGTCGACGTCGCAAGTTGGAGGTAGTGATCTTTGGTCTTGGCTTCTGAGTATAGTTCTCCTTCGGGTGCGACTCGAGGAGCGTGTCGGCTCTTCAGCAGCAGCATCCAGCAGATCCAGCCCAGCAGGCCGAGTTTCTCCTTTGTCGCTCCGTGGGCGACGGAGGCCAGACCCTTGGTCAAGATGTCGATGGCATGGTCGATCTGCTTTCGCTTCGCGTAGGCGAGCGCAATGATCACCCAAAAATTCTTGGCCGCTTTTTCATTCTCCAAGAGGGTGCAGAGCTCAGTCGGGTCATCGGGGAGCTCAAGCAAGCTGACCTCGACTTCGCTGTCGAAGCTGGATGCGGGAATATCAATAGCATCGGGGATGTCGGAAAAGCGCAGGTTGCTCAATGGGCTAGCTGAGGGTACAGCATCACCATTCAGGCCATTGGTTTGGCCATTCTCAAGGGGCGCCATGGTGTGTCCGGGGACGGGAGGGATGAGGCCACTTTGTGAGTAGGTATGGGATTGTAGGAGCCTCAACTCATGATCAAGCGAGGCGGTCCATCAAATAAATTTCAGGATTAGGACCGGTGAGGTTAGCGACCTCGAATTCGGAGAAAACGCGAAAAAGTGACTCTCGGAGACTAACAGCGCGGCGATGAGAGGGTGAGAATTGAGTGATTGGAGTGGCTGGGCTGCACCGCCACAGGCCGCCACACCGCATACATTGAACAATAAGTGCATTCATTCACCTTTTCTGGACTGAATGATTACTCTTCGATTATTTTGGAATAAAACAGAGAATGATAAATAGGGAAAATGGCATTTACTAAATTTCCTAATAAAATAGCTAGATGTGGTATTCACATCACTGCGCCCAGCTTGTTACAAATTTGCAGAAGCAAGCGACACTGACCAGCACCACAAAGATAAGACCAAGCTCACTCCAGTGATGCAGGCTACCATAGGACTCGACATATCCAGCTGAAGCAGCAACTTTCTGGCTATCTACTGCATGATCGGCTTTGATCGAACCGGCCAACTCGGATGGGAAGCGGCCCGTTTCGAAGTACTGATCCATGAGCTGATCTTTCTCGGCCCAGCGTGCTGTCAGCCAGTCCTCAAATTCTTTCTGGTCATCGAGAGGAATCTTTGAAACCTGGAATCGTCTCCAATGCATGTTGACTGAGGTTGGCGGTCGTCCTTGCAGATATGTGGAGCGGAGAGTGAAGTATTTATCGGGATAGCTTCCCTTTCTGTAGACAAACTTGTGAGTATCGCTCTAATAAGAGGGAAAGAGTGATAGAGGGAAAAAAGAAGAAAACATACGGTGGTCCTTCATAGGCCATGGTGCAGTCATACACCCAGTCTACGGTTCCTCGCAACTGCTGAAGACAAAAGAACAGCCCTGTAGACCGTGGAAGAATCATGTGCTTGAATGAAGGCAGTCCTTGCTTCGTGCCCCAAATATCGCTGCGTCTCTTGGTATTGATGGACAGATTTGTTCCCTCGGGGAATATTAGCAGCCACATGGGATCGTACTGTGGGCGGGCTGAGTTGGAGCCGGTATAGACTGTCTTCAGCTTCTCCAAACGATGCTGAAGCCGTGGCTTGTCGGATGTCCACTTCCGAGCCATGAAGATAAACCCGTAGAACATCATGCCAGTGCCCACGATAGGGATATACTTAAGCGACTCTTTCAGGATGATGAAGATGCGGCCATGCATCTGGTTGGTGTATGCAACCCACCAGAGGTAAACCCAATCTGTGTAGACCTGGTGGTTGGAGATCATGACGAGACGCTCCGGGAACCTGGTCTCCAGCAATCCATCTTTCGATATATGGATTTGGCCACGCACGCTAGCATCACCACTGACCCGGAAGAGCGTCGGAGAGCTCCATTGTGTGACAGCACTGAGAACCAGTCCAAAACATTGCTTTGTATATGCCATATACGAATAGTAGTAGTGTCTATTGATCAGATATAGCGGGGCGCCGATTAGTTGCGTCACACAGATCGCCATAATACAGCAATCCGCCCACGTTATCAACAGAAGCGAGCGCAGTATCTGCATGGGAATGCCATGTTTGAGACGCGGCTCGGAGGGTTGTTCGGTCGAGAGCTTCTGAAGCTCCCCGGGATCCTCGGCGGTTTGTGGCTTGCGCTGTCGAACCTCGGCGGGCTCCATGGTGGGAAACTTGGAGATCGGGGGATCCCTGTTGCTTTAAGAGACTGTGAACTGAGGTAGAAAATCAAGTATCAGACTGGAAGCTAGTGAATGCTTCTACAGCTATACAGAGCCCCCACACAGAAATGGTCTGGGAGGATGCGGAGGATGCGGAGGTAGTGATGATGTGGGCTTAGAACGCAACAAAAGCTAGGCAGAAGCTAGGAGATAAAATAATTTGCCATGTCCCGAAAGAAGGAAGTTATAATAAAATGAGCTTGTGGAATATCAGAAAGGATAAGTGTTGAAGAGCTGAAGAGTTGGATAGTTTGGAGGGGAAAATCAGGCGGATCTCGTGGATCTCGTGGATCCACCAAAATGACGGTCACAGCCTCATAACGTCACCCAACTTTCTTGTTGACTTGTCAACTCTTTTTTCATTGTGATTCATCAGATACTCCTTTGAGATTCCTCTGAGAGCCTAGAGCTTTAGAGCCAAATCTTGTGTCAGCTCATTACCGATTCCTACCTTGGGAAAGATGGCGCGTTGATGTGAGCAACCAAGCTTGAATCCTTCTGACTGGAGTCCTCCTGTCTGATACACATGACCAGGGTCTATAGGCCTGCGATCGTCCTTACAACATGCTCTGCACTATCCTCCGCAGGAGTCCTCGCCTCGCCTTGCGCCATTTTTCCACGTCTCAACCACGTCACGAGATCAAAGACATCGGCTCTTTGTCTCAGCGGCTAATACCAAAATACCAAGGTGTGGCTTGGAGCGGTCCTGTTGGACACGTCTTGTGTGTTTGGTTCGAAGACTAATGGATTTTCTCAGAATCCTGCGACGGGGAGCTCCTGTGCCTCCAGTGGCCAGCACCGCCGCGAAATATCTTCCTGGTGCGCAAAGACTGCGCCCCGGCGGTCACCGATTCTCTGATTGAATTTGTCAAGTAAGATCAAGACAAGCCCATGGAAAGCGACTTGGCACAAGGCTGACATCTACGAGCCATGTTTCCTCTACATACCCATCTATCAAGGTGATTCTCGAGTCAAAGACTGCCGCCGAAGTACATTCATCGCTCTCCTTTCCCGTTTACTCGGTTTCTCTCGACGAGAAAACGACCGCGCTTCACGATAAAGTCGACCTCACGGTGACCCTGGGCGGTGATGGCACGATTCTACATGCAGCGTCCCTCTTTGCGACCTGCTCAAACGTTCCACCCGTTCTATCATTCAGCATGGGTACATTAGGCTTCTTGAGTGAGTGGAAGTTCTCAGAGTTTAAGCGAGCTTTCCGAGAAGTCTACATGTCTGGAGCCGGGGCAGGGGATCGAACACCCGTGTTGGAAGATGTCCCTGGGGCGGCACCCACAAAACAGGAAATTGAAATGGGGCCGACCGGGTGGTCCTCCGTCAGGGGGAAATCTATGGGCTCTACGCGCGGGGCCCGCATTCTGATGCGCAATCGGTTGAAAGTAGGACTGTTTACCGCCGACGGAACCGAAACCACACCTATCCGGACCAAGACCGATCAGGGCCAGGGGGTGTATGTGATGAATGAGCTCCTGATCCACCGTGGCAAGGAACCACACTTGGCTGTGGTAGATGTGTTTGTGGGTGGGCGGTTCCTGACCGAGGCTGTGGCAGACGGAATTATAATTTCCACACCGACGGGAAGTACAGCCTACAGCCTGAGTAGCGGGGGTAGTATTGTACATCCGCTAGTGCCGTCCATCCTTTTGACGCCGATTTGCCCGCGTAGCCTCAGCTTCCGGCCATTGGTTCTCCCCTCCAGCGCCCCCATCACGCTGCGGCTGAGTGAAAAGAACCGTGGGCGCGAACTCGAAGTAAGTTTGGACGGTGTTCATTTAGGTCAAGGGATGGCAGTTGGTATGGAAGTCCGAGTTTGGAATGAGGAGATGCGTCATGGGAAGAATGAATGGCAAGGTGGTGTACCCAGTGTGATGCGAAGGAGTGTGGGGTGTGAAGCCCATGAGGGATGGGTTGGTGGATTGAATGGATTGTTGAAGTTCAATCATCCATTTGGGGAGTTATAGCATTGTACAAGATGTATAATATGTATAATATCTTAATGTCTTAATGTGTTCAATGTGTTCAATGTCTTTAATGTGAATGTTCGTGAATATCAAAGTTGTATCAATCGTATAAAAGTGGAAGACCCGTGGATCCAGTTCCCCTATGGACTACGCTGATTGGCCGAGGCTTGTTTTCTGTAGATTGAACTTCTTAAAGTACTCGCCCTATCTCAGGGGACATCTCTTCTTCCCCCTTTCTCTCTTCATTCTCCCCAACTCTTAACTTGTGATTATTTCTTGATTCTTTTTAGGTCTGATATTGCGTTGTTTATTCTTGAGCATCCTCGCAGTGCGAGGACAGCTCTTGATTTATCCCCCCCAAAAAAAGGTACTTATTCTACCCCTCCTTCGATTCCCTCGATACTTCTCTACTCTATCCCCTTGTTCCGGCAAATTCATGTGTACGAGTGGTTATCTTAACAAAGAGAAGATCGTGAAACGTTCTATGAATCATCCTTCCCCTGAATACAGTCGCTGATTTCCGTCTATTAGCGCTAGCCAGTCTTGAAGGCCTCAGGAGGTCTCGGCGCATTCGTTTACACCATCCCTCCTCCGCCCCCCTGCGCGACCTGGAAAATCCCTTGAATAATGACTTCGTATGGAGGGTATGTTACACTATCCTACCCAGAATCTGGTGACATTTTACTCACCCTCTATAGCAACATGTACGCGCCAGAGCAGTTCATGAATCCGGGGCCAGCCCCCCGGCCCCCTACCGATCGACCCCCCAAATTGACTCTACCCACCAACAACACAACCACCTCCTTCGGTCAGATGAGTTTAGACTCTCCGATGACACCCGGTCCAGGTGCGGCAAATCTTTCGCTTTTCCCCAACACCAGCAGTCCTTCGCTGGCTATGACTCGGAGTAATACCGGCCAAAATGGAATCTCGATCATCAAAGAAGGCGCCGTCCGCTGCAAAGAGGACAAATTCTTGGCAACCTGGAATACACGTTACTTGATCCTACGTGAGTATAAACTCGAATTTTTAAAGAGTGATTCTGGCAAGGTAGTGATTACCTTCCCTTTGTCTTCGGTCACCGCTGTCGCTCGCTCCGAGGATTCCAAGATGGCCTTCGAGGTCACTCGTTTGGCCAACCCGAAGGATGCAAACTCCAAAGCTGCCCTCCTTGCCCGCGACCTACCTACTAAGACCATTACCTGCGAAGTCAAATCCGATGATGAAATCTATGAGTGGATTGACAAGA